TGTATATTATACAAATTAACACACTATTAAATAATGAAAAGTGTTTAATATGCTTTTATATCTATTCATGTAATATTATGTAAATGTATAACATGTATTTATGTTCGAAAATGTAAGGTATTAACTCACTCTTTTCTGGTACTGAAGCAGCTGCACCTGGAAGAGGGAGTGATGCTCTCAAGTCTTCATCTTTGCTGGATGATTCCAAAGTTGGTTCCACAGTAGTTTGAACGTTTCCAGCATTTACTGGAGATCGTTCGGGACTAAGACTGCCATCCTTGTTACGCCTTACGTAATTTCTTTGTCTAGCATTCGGTCTAATTTCTTTAAATGTAGGTGGGTGAGGAGGAGAGACTATCAGTGAACCAGATTGCTCCTCCTCAGTAACACCACCAGAATTATTTAGACTTGAATTGGACTTTGCATCATTACGCCGGGGAATTCTATATGGAGGGCTTGGACTGCGTTTTCTCGATTTCGTATTCTTTTTTCGGTTTTTAGACGTTTGAAAGGATTGAGGAGAGGTACGCGAGGATGGTGAACTGTCTCCACTGTCTTTTTCACGAGATTTGGACCTAACAGGACTAGTGTCTCTGTCGACTTTCGGAATTTTACTCGGAGATGTTTGAGGTTGCTTAGATCGCGATTTATTACCTATTTTCCTATGCGAGGATTTCGAGGAAGCAGAAGATTTGTCAATCGTCGAAGACGAAGAACTACGAGAATTCGAGCTCTTTGAATCTTTCGACTTAGAATCATTACTCCCACTTCCTCTGTTACTCGCGGATAAAGAACTATTACTACCCATAGATAGACTTTGAGAACCTTTGGAACTATTACTGTTTAGGTTACCACTACTATTACTAGACAATCGAGGGTCTTTCTTTTGACTTGTTCGATGCGACACAGCATCTTTATTTGCGTTACCACTGAAATTTTTATTGTTATTATTATTGTTGAGGTTCGTATTAGCATTATTGTTATTACTAGCGTTTAACGTCGCAGTATCGGAGCCGGCAAGATTTGTCGGAGACTTGTTGATAGTGCTAGTCACAGCCTGTTTCGAAAGTAACTGCTGTTTTAATTGATCTGAAAGTACAGTGTTTGTATTTGCCGCTAGTTGCGTTTGGCCTTCACCCCGCGAATCCTTTTGAGTTGGTGTACTTATTCGCTGACGAGGATCCACGCTTGAAACTGCTACATCTTGAGTCGAAGTAGTTTTTAATCTTGGATCACGTGATACAGGCTTAGCTGATGCTACTGCTATACTACTAGCTGGTGCAATTCGTGGACCATTGTTCGTTCCTGCATTTTTCAGAAGTGAAGCAGTTGCTGCTGGAAACTTAAAACAGAAGAAAAATATTAAAAAATAACGAAATAATTTCACTTGTCTTTATTCTAATATGAAGACAAAAATGTATAATATAAATAACTACCTGTTTTGTTACTTGTTTTGGTGCTTGACTTGGCACAGTAGTTGCAACAGGTTTCCCTTGTGTGATAGTTTCTGTGCTTGGTGTAATATGGGTTGTGGCTGCAACCTATTCAAATAAGAATAAATAAAATTTGGCTACAATTCAAATATGTATAATTAACAAATTGTAATTATCTTATGACTTACCAATTCAGCTTTTAAATTTCCAGCTTGTTTATCAAGTTGTCGCTGTTGTTGTTCTAAATTAGCTTTAGCTTGAAGTAATTCTAACTCAATTTTTTTCTTTTGCAATTCTATTAGTTCTCGTTGTTTCTTTAATAATTGTTCTCGCATTGCTGCTTCTGTTGGTGTCACAGGATCACCTGGTGGAAGCTTAACAGGTGCTACAATTGGTTGTGAAACAATAGATGTTGTTGATTGTTGGGGCTAGAAATAATTAAAATATTATATATTTATATATCTTACGTATAAAAATATATAATTATACTCTGCATAAATTTATTATACCAACCATTGAAAAAAAACGAGGATTAACATGAATAGAACCTGAAGAAACACTAGTAGGAGAGGCAGTAATTGGCCAGGCAGGATCAATACTTTGTACTCGTACATCCAAAGAAAATAATTTCTTTGCTGGAAATACATCATTCCATGTTTGCCTCAATTTCCACATGCTGGCTCTTGTATTTTCATCCACCTATTGATTTATAATAATATTATTGAATTTTATACCTATATTTCCTCTTTTTTTTAAGCTTTTTATAGAAGTCAGCTTTACACTATAGAGATAATGCAAAAGCACAAGTACAAGTACAATGAACTAATATTGACTAAAGAATTATCTTATAGTTCTATGGAATGTAAAGCAGTCTTATAGCTGGAATATTCTTGTTTCTTGGAAATATAATTAATATAAGAAATGTAATATAACAAACAAATTCTTTTGTAATAAAACAAAAATAAACATATTTTAGAGAGTAGGGCTGAATAATATATATAAAGCTACATACATTTTTCATGTAATAATTAGGAAACATACCTTTTCAAACACTCCACAAAATGTGTTTACAATATTTTGTGTGAAGAGATTTAAATATGCACCATTAACATTCTTCACAATTGAATCAATCAAATAAAGGACAGGTAATTTGATGTCACTTCTCACCTATTAAAACATAATATAATGTATCTATATTTCAATTCATAATACTAACAAATTTAAGCCATTATTTCATACCATAATGTATAAAAAAAAGTGAAAATACATAATGTATAAATACAATACAAAATGAAGAAAAGGTGTTTATATAAATAATTACATTGCACTGTGCAATTTATTCTAATCCATTCAATTGTGTTTATTTTATTTACTTTTTTTATATCTTAAATAAGCAAAGACATGAAATACAGATCCCCTATTTTTAGTAATTAAGGTATATAATTCATAAATATTTGAAAAAGAAAAACATAACATGTAGATTTCCAAGACTCCTATCTCATATAAATAATAAAAAATTAATATTAAATAAGAGTGTAACAATGTAAGCACAATAATATATTTTATAAAGTACAAAACAATTTATACTATTTTAAAGTAATTACAATAGATAAATAACCTTTTGTAGATGATTTTCAACAGCTTGAACAATTGCTGGTGCATGTTCTATGTTGTCTTCTGCCAGCATAGTAAGCATATTAATCAATGGTTTACTGTTGATCGTCAAATCAGATAATGATGAGATGTACTCATCTGCTATTTCCTTAGACTTTGTTGATGTCATGATGTTGTGTTGCCAGTTGATAAATGCAACAAATCTTCGTCAAATTGACAGTGGTAATTACACTGTGACACACAAAAAACAGGCATTAAAAACACTAACATACCTTTTAATATAGGAAGGCAATAAAATATACACATATCTCTCATTGATCTTTTATTAAAGTTTATTAAAGTAATATTAAGTGACAAGAATGTATTAATATTTTATGATGCAATTCCAATAACTATTTTAAAGCATTCTTAACGTGAAAATACATTTTATACAAAAGTTTCTTAAACTTAAAAGTTTTATAAAAAGAACTCAATATAAAAGATATAAATTATAAGAATTAATATTTATACATTAATTATTTAAAAATTTACATACATATTATCTACAACTTTGGAAAGCAATGACAAATTGTTAATACTGCAAAATAATAAAGAGTTATTGAGATATTGTTTGTTACATATTTGTAAGATTATATTTGTCAAAAAATTCTAATATATAAAATGCTATAAAATACTAATAAAAATTATTTATTATATGAATAAAAAGATAGTCTAAAACCTTTATTCAAGATTATTTCTTGATTTCCAATGGTTAGGCTATTCTATTTTTATTAAACTAGAATATGTAGAGCAGAAAAATGGAACATATGTATAATTTCTTAAAACCTTGCTTCTGCTAAACAAATTAATATGACTTCAAATATCAACTTGATCAGCAATTAATACATTATTATTTTTATTTATATAATATTATTTGAAATATTTTTAACAAAGGTTGATAGACGTCATACACATATCGATTTTTTTTCTTTCAAATAACAATTATGTGCTTTCCAAAAGCTTTTGTTACACTATTATTGCAATGTCCATGCACGTTCTAGAAGTTCAGCACAAATACCTAAGTGTACACGAATAACTAACACGCATCTGGATTTCCTTAACGCCTGACGAGCAAACTTGAACGACATTCAGTATTATAACTTCACGTTCTATAGTGAGTTTTTCCAAGAACACTATAAGCGACACTAGATAACATTTACCTTTTTAACGCATTTCGAAAAAACAGAAATATCCCGAAATATAACTATTTTGACTTTTCGCGATAATCACGCGGATACTACTGCTACGCCAAACGGGATATCCACGTAAAATGGCTACCATTCCTTTGTACCTTCTAACGGGATTACAAATATATAACACTTACAGCGATTGGACAAATTTCTGACTCTGTCGGTTGAAATTCAGCAAAGAACCAATCATATATTCCGTTTTAAAATGCAACTAGGTTGCTTAGTATTCTAAAATTTCACAATTTTCCGCACGTGTCGCTAGTGAGCAAAATGGAAGCATATAGATGCATTTTCATTGTTACGATTTTTATAAGAGAAATTTATATTGAACGACTAAATGATGTAAAATTGAAATGCTTACTAAAATTTAATTTAATAGGTTATTACAAATGTGTAATTAATTTCTATAATTTCATTTGTAACTATCTAATAAAATAAAAATCATAAATTCTTTCTTAAATTCGTAAATATTATCCACACAATTATAATTCATAATATAGCAAATATCTATAGAACATAAAGAATAATTTAAAAATTATTCTGACTATTTAAAGATCATTTGTATGATTTGAATGTTTGATATCAAATAATATATAATTATCTAAGAATAATATCAAATTCACGTAATTTTTAAATTTGTATACATATATGCAACTTAAAACTTATCATTTCTAAATCATGATAACGTCATAACTCAATGGCGGGGTCGAAAGAAAACGTCATTTTGACAGAATGGCAGAAAGTCTAGAAAGTCAGTCACGAATTTTGTTAAATATGTGTTTCTATTTATTTTATAAAAATGGAACCTTGTGTATTCAGTAAAGCGTAAAAAACGAGAGAACTGGGGATAATGTCATAAATAGCTCTCTTTAACATAATTGAAAAAAGTGAATTTCATTAGAGGAAGTATATTATAAAACTTCGAGTCGCCGTCAAAGTGAGCGGTTGCTAAAATTGTACGTGTCGTGTTTGCAAATGCATCGTTAGTTTTACACAAGGTTTTTGACCGTAATACAGTACGGATGTGATGGAGGATTACAAATTTCTCTTTAAAGTTGTACTCGTAGGAAATGCGGGTGTCGGCAAGACTTGCCTCGTGCGCAGATTTACCCAGGTATGTATGCATATATATGCATATCATTAGTTAATTCACATTATTTATTAATAAAAATATACAAAATAATATTTTATAATAAATAAATTTTATTAGCTTACATACTTTTCATACAAGCTGTTCTGTCTACTTTTGTAATTTGATTCCTTATATGGACTGTTCATTTAGAATATAATATTTTGAATATGCATTTTTAATTATTAATATATGTATATATATTTGTCATGTAGGGATTATTTCCCCCAGGTCAGGGTGCAACAATAGGTGTTGATTTCATGATTAAGACTGTGGAAGTAGAAAATGAGAAAGTTAAGGTACACATATGATGTAATGCATTATGATTCATCCAATGTATACAGATATACTTTTTTGGAATAATTTTATGCTGTGCTTAAAAGTAATTAATATTTCTTTCTTTTTAGCTTCAAATCTGGGATACTGCAGGTCAAGAAAGGTTTCGTTCAATAACACAAAGTTATTATAGGTCAGCTCATGCTTTGATTTTAGTTTATGATATTTCTTGTCAACCTACATTTGATTGTTTACCAGATTGGTTAAGGGAAATTGAAGAATATGCAAGTAATAAAGTTCTTAGGATATTAGTAGGTAAGTGATATATGTTATTATAATTGTGTATTATGTGTTAAATATATTTAATTATTTTTTTAGGTAATAAAATTGATCGAGAAGACAGAGAAATACCAACACATGTGGGAGAAGATTTTGCACAAAGACATGGAATGTACTTTTTAGAAACTTCTGCAAAAGAAGCAGAAAATGTAGAGCGATTGTTTATGGAAATAGCAGCTGAACTCATGGAGGTAATAAGTAACGCATATTTTTCAAGAAAATGTTGATCCAGCTGATTCAGCTGTTATTAAATTAACATATTATTCTAGCAAGCACGCAGTAAGGAACTACCTAGATATGAAACAAATGCAACCTCAATAAATGGGAAAACAACATCAATTGGTGATACAAGTAACTGTGGTTGTAGTCGACTTTCTTAAGTAGCTTTTATAACTATTATTAAGTCATCCAACAAATGCATAATTTCAGTTGCTAAATATGTATGTAGAACATTATCATACAGTTTTTATAGCGAATGAAGATTGAACGCAATATTAGTCAATCTTCCACAACTAAACAAAAAAGATTCTAATATTAGAACAACTCTGATATTATATGTTAGTATATAGTGTTATACTATGCAGATTATATTAATAATTTTGTTGCAAAAAGTATTTAATACTTGAAATTAAAATGAACTTTAAATATGTTGATAAGTTTTTGTTCTCAAATGTGTTTTTATAGATATTGATTAAACTTTTTTTGTTATAATTTTACAATTGCACTATTTGAATAATAAATAAGTTGGTTGCCTGTATTTTGGCATTTGATGATATGTCCATAAATGGAAGTTTACTATGTTCTATAGAATTTTTTGTTATGTCGGAAAGTACAAATAAGTATTTCATATTTGGTGACTGAATATGAAGTCATTATGAATATAAGATTTTTACTACAAATTATAAGCCTAATATTGTCCAGGATTTTTTCAAATTCACAGTATACATATAAATGTTTACTATACTCTTTTAAAACTCAACTAAGATTTGATATTAAGAAGCAAACAATTCTGTATATTCATTATAATTACTGAAAATTATTATAAATAATTCTTTATTCTGTCATTGCTTAGTATGTTAGGTGCGCAAAATTTTCCGATTATCTTAGCAGCATTTACACAGCCAAAGTTTTGTTGTATTTTCTAAGATTTTATATATAATTCTTAAACAGCGAATAATTAATAGTTGTTCCGTCTGTTTATTGTTTAACGTTGTATTTTATAGATTTCTATTATTATTTATGTTTATAACTAAAATATTTGTTGCTCGTAATATTATATTAATAACACCATTTTTTTAGCACATCACTCTAGTCTTTATACCTTTTTATATTTTAAATACAAAAAATTAATTATAAGTTACACTATCTCATGTCTTTTATAATTATATATTGGATCACTTTCATTTTTTTTTACATACGTTTGACGAAAAAATTAAATAAACATTATGTATTTATTATTTTATATTTCACACACTTTAAAGATAAAACAGTTGTAAAATAGGATTACATATAAATATTCCTTTCAAGTATGTTTAAAATTATTTATCTGCGTTTATATTGGTATCTTGAAATAGTTTATACTAATATTAAATTACAATTATGTGTAGGAAAATAATAAAACAGTTTATGTAAATTTGCGTTAACAAAAGACCTAAATGTATTTAACTTATTTTAAATATATAACAAAATTGTATGTTATATTATAAAAGGGTTATTTAGATTCTTCTAAAATTATGCTGTTTTAACAAACATAAAGCTTTAGATTGTCGTTATTTAATATTTTGTTGTTAATAACATAAGTTTTAAGTAATATAAAACATACATAAAAATTTATAATAAAATTATACTGATAAAAACATATCAGTTTGTGTATAGATAAAAGATAACTGTAAAATGCTGGACTTTTAATTTGATCAACAAGAACTTAACAAAAAGTATTTTATAAAAGATTGTTATAATAAATGACAAACAATTTTGTTTTGGTTTAAAGTATTACAATTTTCTATTACAAAACTATTCCAAATTGCGCTTGTACTTTATCCAATTGTTTCATGTGTTCATTTTATATCTAACGTATACATAATGTACAATACAACATATTAGTAATTGAATATATGAATGAATATTGTTATGGAAAGTATGCTCCACATTTTTTTTAATTGGCACGATTTTTAAATACTTCTGCCATATAAGTCTGTTGTAAAATTTTCGAAAGTTCGCTGAATAATGTTCTATATAAATAAATAAATTAGAACTATATGTACAATTATTTAAAAGATTATTCCTTTCCATAAAATATGATTATATTGTAATACTACTAAACAAATCTATGATCGTGGTTTTATTATTTACTTCATACTATATAATTCATTTAAGTACAGAACAAGTGAGGTGAATAATTACAATTACCTTCATTATACATATTGGAAAAAATCATTTAGTTGCACTTGTTGAAGAGATATGTCAAATAATGTTTTTTGAATAGATGAATTTAAAGCATCTGGATTAACTTGGCCTGGACGACAATTATTAATGTATAAACCACCACAATTTTCAATTGCTTTATTTACAGCAGTATATACAATTGAAATAGCTCCTTGTTTGGGAGTCTGAAAAAGATATTGCATTATTTTAGTTTTTTAATTATATTTTTCTTAATATATTTACCTTAAAAAGATGTTGAAAAAGTAATTTATATTTCCAAATATAAGAATGTATGAAAAGTTCTGTAAAAACTACTCCAGGATGTACAGAATAAACTTGTATATAATACTGCTTCTTTTTTAAAAGATCCTGTAGTCGTTTTGTAAATATTTCTTGCGCCAATTTACTTTGTGCATATGCACGTTTAGTTAAAAACTTATTTCTGTTTAAAAAATGATATTTGTATCATTAAAAATACGAATTATAAATGAAGATAATATAAAATATAATAATGACATTACTTCTCATTAATGTCATTGAAATTAATTTTTCCCAGAAGTTGTACACAAGAAGTAATATTAATAATTCTACTAGACTGTTCAGGAAGTCCACCAGCTTTTAATAGAGGCAACAGTAATGATGTTAATAAAAAATGTGATAAATAATTTACAGCCCATTGTTGTTCAAAACCATCTACTGTTTCTTGATAAGGACCAAACATAACACCAGCTGCAAATAATATTAATTGAGTGAAATAATATTGATTTTAATTCAACAACTTTTTACACATTGCTATTTATATTTATTTATATTACCATTATTAATTAAAACATGAATCTGTTTATAATCCTTTTTTATTTCTGTAGCAAATTGTTTTACAGATTCCAGAGAAGCATTATCAAGTTTATAAACCTTTGCCTGTCCACTATTAATGCCAGATTCTCTGATTTGAAGAATGGCCTTTTCACCTGCAGAAGGTGTTCTACAAGCTGAAAAAATATTTTTAAATTTATATAAAGTCCTGAAAAAGTAAATTAGAATTTAATTTCATAGAATTTAATGAATTTTTAAATTTCTTGAACCTACCAATTATTACTTCCATGTTAAGTTCTAACAGCATCTTTACCACTTCAACCCCAATTCCTCTGGATCCTCCTGTTACAATTGCAATTCTTCCTGGTTGAGGTAAACAGTCTTGGAACAAAAAATAAAGAAAAAAAGATGTATATGTATGTATGTATGTATGTATGCATGCATATATGTATGTATGTGTGTATGTATGTAATGTATGTATATGTGTGTGCGTGTGTATGCATGCATGTATAACTATATTAAAAAAATATATTATTTTAATAATTAAAAAAAAACTTTATTAATTTTTTGCTAAATTGATAATTTATTTGTTAATTAACGATATTAAATAAAGTTATTGACTTTCAGAAACAAATTTCTGCATTTCAAATTGCAAAAGAAAGAAAAAAGAATCAAAACTTTTAAACAAAATATGTTATAAATATATCAAACATATTCACTTACCATTTTCATTGTACTTTGTACTTATCCAAGCATATATAATTTCCTTAGCCGCTAGTAAGGTATATTTTACTTCATATAAAAATTGTTCAATGACGATAGGACATGGCATTTGCCTTAAATTACGATACATAAAGCAACTCGCAATTATAGCGCAGATTGAACCGATGAACAGCATTCTTCTGAACTTACTTTTTCCACTTTTAAAAGATTTCAAATTTTTATAATTCTCAAGACAAATTAATTTTCGTATTAAAGTATTACAAATAAAGAACTGTGTTAAATAAAAACGTTAATTCGCTTTTCACCATTTATTACTGAGCTACTTTTATATATGTGTACTTGAATAGTATACGTGTACCGTTATTTTGTGATGCTTGAAATATTATTTCTACATTTTTATCCTTATATAGATATATATCATATGTACAAGTATTATATTAAGAACGTATATTACTTTTAATAAAGTTATATATCGTATAACATGGTTATTTCTTAAAAGCTATTATTCTTGATTTTATATTAATAATAAAAAAAGGAAATTTTATTTAATATCATTTCTCATATTAATATAATTAAAGCATTAGTGCCTAAACTACGTAATATTTTAACTATGGCTTTAAAGTAATTGTATAGTATAATACTTCAGATTTTTTTATTTCCTTTGTGTAGGAAAAATATTTTCCTTTATTTTTCCTTTGTGTAGGAAAATATTTTTTTACAACAAATTAGTAATGACTCTCAGTATGACTCGCAGTCATTTTCTTGTATCTGTTTTTAACAATCGTATTAATATCAAAGCGATAAACAATAAAAAAGTACTTCATAAAAAAATTATATATAATTTAACTGTAATTACGTAACTCTTATAAATATGCTTGAATACACAATAAATTTTTTACTGAGAAAAATTTATCGAAAATACACGTCTATAAATTGGAAGAATCGTTATTCTTGTATTATCAAAAATAAACACAAAAATGTTTCGTTACAAGTAAAAAGTGATTGACCAAAGATTACTTAAGTACTAAAAAATCTAAAAATATACACAGATAAATATTTGTGTTGTAGATAATATACGTAATGATTGCATCGATGAAAAATTGTTATTTTTAATACGTGAAAAATATTAAAATAAAAACATCGTTTAAACGATATATCCTTCGCCTTTAAAAACAATTGTTTTATAATTCAATAAAATACCGATAGAGTACGACACGCAATGATCCATCCACACCATCTACCAGAGAAATTAGAAATCTTAAACTCGAAACTTGGTGTAATTATTGAGATACCTGAGGAAATTATATGTAGGTAGTGAATTTACGCAGATACTCTACGTTAGTATATTCGTTACAATTAAGATTCGTGGGTGTTTGTAGAAATTGAGATTTTTATTACATAAACAAACGTTTAAACCATCATCGTACAAAGTAAGTATCACCTAAGTGATTGTAATAGATAAATAATTCATTCATTCAATCCAATTTGTAAATAGGTTTTATATACATAATAAAAAATTAGGTTAAATGTTTCAAAAACATAAATTTTTATGTATATGTTATAAATGGAACGTTTAAATATTTATCACGACATTAAATTCCTTCGTATTCATAATAAAAAAAATAAATAAATAAATTTTAAACATATTTAGGACATCATATATTTAATACCTTATCAAAATTAACTGCTTTCACTTTAGAAAATAGAACGCGATTTACATTTCTGCCATATTTTTAAAAGATAATCTTTGAGTAACTATTTCACATGTGTTGTCAAAATAAGAAAAGTATTTTAAAAAAATTTGATGAAAATTTGTAAAACTAAAAATATAACATTTGAATTTTATTTGAATGTACAGGATGGCAGATACTACAAATTCAACATCAAGCAATAATTCAGTACACATGGAAAAAGGCTGGTTTGCTTTAAGGCAACACATCATTGATAATAAGATTAAAGTTGGATTATGGTTTACAAGACTTTTTACTATTATATTTACTATTGGTTATATCATTCCCATATTTGGGTACGTTGTTTCAAATTGTTTTATTATATAAATTAAAAAATTAAACTCTATATTTTCTATTTTAGCAATTCTTATAATATCTATTATAAGGTATTAATGAGTAATGCAGCAACAAGTGCGTTACGTCTTCATCAAAGAGTACCACATGCTCAACTTAGTAGACAATTTTTAGAGCATTTATTTGTTGAGGATTCCTGTCATTATTTATTTTATTCATTAATATTCATCTATGCAGCTCCTGTTACATGTATCCTTTTTATATGACAATAGATGATAGATAACAAATACTGCAATAAAATACTTTTTGATATAGGCAGATTTATAGAATGTAATGTAAAATTATTTTTCCTGAATTATGAATTAGTGGTGTTAACACCCGTATTTTTGTTTGCATTGATACATTTTGCAAGTGATTCTCTTACATTACTTGATGTAAGTAAAAAAATTCCATTTTATAATGCTGAATCATGACATGCTATCATAGCACAATAATGTAAAGTCATCATTATGGCAACTAACATTTATTTTGATGTTTTCTAATTAAGTGTTTAGCACAAAATAGCTGCTGGGCAGCACGTCTTTTAATATCTTTGGTGGAATTTCAAGCACAAAATATTTTACGAGTTTGTGCATTTGCTGAGATAATTATTCTGCCATTCACATTACTTCTTGTATTTACGTATGTACAAATGTGTATTAATTTTCTAAAATCAGATATTATAGAAATAATTTATAAAGTTATCTTTTTACAGAGGTCGCGCTGGCTTATTGACACCATTTATTTACTTCCAATTTTTGAAATTTCGTCTTGCATCACAAAGAAATCCATACACTCGTAATGTTTTCTATGAAATCAGAAATGGGTTAAGTTCAGTCTCTAGGAAACCAATGGTGCCAATTATAGTACGACAAATAATTGAAGGTCTATTGTCACTTACACAACAAATGGCCCCTGTTCGTCAGTAACTTCTTATTTTAAACAAATGTATTAAATTATCAAAACAAATTTCCTAGGATTCTAGGATCCATGTAATAATAATTTCATATAATTGAATGCAAAATGAGTGCAAATGTAAAAAAAATAACGAAGTTATGATCTGTTATTTAAAATGAATATAAAAAACAATCAAATAATGTTTTGAAATTGCAATTAATGTTTGTGCTCATTTCTGTGTTGTAAACAATAAGAACATTTTTGAAACTGTTTCATACTATTTATTAATAAACTAGATTTAGATTTTATTTACTAAACACCAAAATATGCATATGAATAACTTATACAGTTGAACTTTTAATATTTTATGACACATAATATCGATTTGCAATAAGTTTTTAACTATGCAAATGAACATAGATTGAACAGAATGAGTGCATGTTTCAATATGCTTATTATAATGCCTTTAAATTTTATTCTAATATTTCGAATTTCTCAGCATTTTAATTTCTGTATCTTTTCTATTCATTTATTAGACAGTTTTATATCTGTAAGTAAATTAGTATATTCAATGAAAAATGTGGAAATATTGATTAATGTGTATTGTAACTCATATTATTAGAGGTATTTTCGTATTTTTTAAAACGTGTTTAATTGCAGTATACTTATGCACGACCATTTTTTTTGGGGGGGGGGGAGGGTAACAGTAAAAGTAACATTAAGTAATTTTTTTGTTAGTTGATATAGATATGGGTTATTCTATGAACTTTATGGTAAAACAGTATTTAGTTAACTATTGTCTTAGTCCTGGTTATTCTTAAAAAATATTTTTAAATAATTCCATTATAAATGAATGTTATTTACAAATTATGCTAAATACTGAATTAAGTTTAAATCCAATTGTGAAATTTTCATAAATAAATATATAGAAACCAACATTTTTTGTTATGTTGATTATGAAACAGAATATTCTTTCTGTATTTGTATTTTTCTTGTTTTTGTTATCAGATTTAATAATAAAAAATACAATATTTATTTTAAAAGTTTATTTCCATTTATGTATAAATTACACTGGAAGTGGTATTGTTTGCGGCAAATCCTTAGATACTTTCACTTCAGATGTTGGTTGTAAAGGAAATACTTCATCTTTTGGTTCAGCAATGGAAACAGAATCTGGCAGAGGCTTTTTGGGACCTGTCTTACCTTCAGGATCATATGCGAGCATGATTTTTACTTTGATGCCAAGTACACCTAATACAAAATGATAATTTAAAGTAAAAATGATTTTCACTTTTGTTATTAATGTCTTACTAAATATACCTTGTCGAAGAAGCACATGACGAGTTGCAGTATTGACATATTCATTAGTAGGTTCTCCAGAGTGGATCATTAATCCATCAACAAATTTCATCGACTTTGCTCTTTGTCCACGTAACTTGCCACTGACAACTACCTCACAACCTTTTGCTCCAGACTCCATGATAAACCGAAGGACTCCATAACAAGCTCTAGAATGATGTAGCAATAATATAATTTACAAGATATTTATATAACATAAATCTTTTAACTAACCTCCGCACAGCGAGACCTCCAATTAATTTGAAACGTAAAGATTCTGCTTGAGCAATAGCACAAAGACCTCTTGTTGCAACTTTCTCGGCATATAATTCAATATTTTGTGTTTCTTTAAAATGAAATCGTTTTTGTACAACAGATGTCAATTCTCGGATTCTACGACCCTTTTCCCCAAGAACACTTTGTGTATGAGTAGCCAGTAAAATAATTTCTGTGCGGTGAGGAGTAACGCGTACTTCTACTCCTGAATATCCATCTTCTGAAAGTTCGCGAGTTAGAAACTCGTTTAATTCAGCTTTGAAAACTCCGTCTCCTACAAACTGAAAGAAAAGAATTACTAAATAAACTATTATATTCAGTATTACGATTCAAATAGGTTATAAACTAACCTAAAAGTAAAAGTTTGTTGACATAAATGCAATTCAATTAAATATAAAATATTACTTTAATTAATATATTTAATTTAATTTGATAAAACATAAATTATTTCAATATTCGTGTAAGATATTTGAGATGTTTGTAACATAAAGAATACAATCATGTAGGTCGAAGGTAAACAGCTGAGAGCATCCGTATCATCTATAATTTCCACATGTTATTTATACTTGTTTTTTGATGAAATATTTTTTATATATCTTTAATCATTATAATGGACATCATATTTTTACAAATCATTGGTTATAAATTATTAAAATTTACAAACCTTTCTCTTCTTCGAGATAGAACGATTGTCCATGTTTTATACTTGCAATAGAAAAGGAGTCGAAAATCCAAAAGACTCGACTGGAAGCGGAAATGATACACTTTGATGTGATGTCAAATTAGCATTTATATTTGCAAGATATTGTTTAGCAATACTGATTAAATCCAATATACTTTTCTGAAAAAGATTAACACTATTTTGCTTTATTAAGAGGAAAGAGAAATTGGAGAATTTAAAAATTAATGTATCACTAGATTTATAAGTCTATATAGAGGTTAGAAAAAGCACTAGATATTTGAAATTTGCATAATAAAAATATATATACACACATATGTGTGTGCGTGTGCATGCTCTGTATATATTATATAGTGAAATGCATAAATATATTTTTTGAAATAATTATTTTAAAGCAAACATATAATTCATTAAATGATAAGTCCAATGGATAACCTTTACCCCTAGTATATTATTTATTTTATATGTAAAAAAAACAGATATCATTTTGCTATTTTTGTTATAACTTTTTATACAAAAAAAGATAAAATAATAGTTTATGTTTAGAATTCAGGAATAATAAGAAGTTTTAATAAATATTATAAAACTATAAATATCATACTTACACATTTACTCTGCTTTATTTAGAGAATACAAAGGTATTAACCGCCATTATAAAACTAATTAGATTTACTTATTACGGTCCTGGTGCTATCAAAACACATATGCATGTATGATATACCTTTATATAAACGTTATATATGTATATTCTATTGAGTCATATTATGAAGATATACTTGTGTATGCGTTTGTAGCATTGCTGTGAAGTGTACTGTTCTTTAGAATTATGTCTTATCCTCGACATGGAATGGAAAACAGTAGCGTTTATAGTGTTGGTAGTGAGTTTATGCTTTTTGGCAATACGGATTAAAGTGTACCCTGATAATAGTAACGCAGATTCTAAGCTTTTCGAGAATTATGTTACACGCTTCAACAAATCTTACACAAACGATTCGTCAGAATACGAGGAAAGATTTAAACGATTTCAGGTAAGCCTTTAGATTAATAAGAAATACTGTTTATAAAATAAAAAGAAAGAAAAGGAGTATGTACATATACATATACATAAGCATACGATACATTTTAATTATTAAGTATTTCGATCTCGTTGACAGATGACAGTTTCGAAAATTACGCGCGTTTTTATATATCGTTATTTTCTGTTTTATTTTTATCTATTCTATTTCTCGAAAAATTTCAAAACCTCGACATCTATTTAAATAAAAATTGATCTTCTTTAGAACAATATTAAATATGTTCAAAATTGACAAGTTGTTATTAAACAAGCAAAATTTCGATATAATTCAAAACTACGTAGTATTCGTAGTAATAATAAATCGCTTATGCGTAGGAAAATAAAAACTAACAATAAGTGGCAAAGCGACGTAAGTGATAATGTAATAGATAATCGATTGGTATTTTATATCATTTTAAATAAAGAAACTTATGTTCGTATTACAGAAATCATTGCGACACATAGAAAAAATGAATAATTTGCGGTCATTACAAGAAAGTGCTTATTATGGACTCACTGAATATTCTGATATGTCGGAAGATGAATTTTTGGTACAAACTCTTTTACCTGATTTACCAGTAAGAGGTGAAAAAGAAAATCTTACCTGAGAAAAATAATTTCTAACAATTGATATATAAAGAAAAAATTTATTAGGTGAAAAACATATAAATGCATCGTATCACCGATGGCATCACTTACGTCAATATTCCAATCGAGTGAAAAGATCGGCTGGCATACCTCTAAAATTTGATTGGAGAGATAAAGGAGTAATTACTCCGGTACGAAGTCAAGGATCTTGTGGCGCCTGTTGGGCTTTCAGTACCGTTGAAGTTGCTGAATCAATGTTTGCAATAAAAAATGGCACTCTACATTCGTTCAGTGTACAAGAAGTAGGATATTTAACGTATCTTTTTTAATGTATTTTTCAAATTTAATAAGATTTCCTTCATAGATGATTGATTGCGCGAAAAACAGTAATTTTGGATGCGAAGGAGGAGATATATGTAGTTTGCTTTCATGGTTGTTAATAACGAAAATTCAAGTACTTCCAGAATCAGCTTATCCGCTTGTAGGAGAGACGGGTACGTGTAAACTCGGGAAGTAAGTATATCGAAACGATAAGATATATTCGAACGATATGAAACACAAACGATGATTAATATTAAAATATTGTTTTCACAGAACAATAGATAAGACAGCTGGTATAAAAATAAAAGATTTTACGTGTGACAGGTAAGGAAATTACATTATATACGATTATATAATATCAATAGCTTCAAATGAAGGATTATGTTTAAGTATCAGATATTCAAGCGGTAAAAGAATGACACGTAGCGTATTATTGTATCAATATGTGTTGTCTTGCGTGTAGTTTCTTATAAAAGACTTTCTTATGTAAGCTGACCGGTTCGTTTTATCCTTGCAAACGTGTGAGCAGTGATGTTATTGAATTTATGCAAGGAATAAAAATTGTATTTTCTCGACATTAATTTCATTGAATAAAATGTCATTTAAAAAATTAATTAAATTTTACTGAATCAAAATTTATATACAGATCTTTCTATTATTTGTTGGCTAATGTCTTGAAATATTACCATATATAACGAATAATATTTACTTGCGATGTTTGCTATTAAGAAGATTAAAAGTTTAGCGGACTTTAGTTTCGTAGATGCAGAGGATGAACTGTTGATAACATTGGCCACACATGGGCCAGTAGCGGCGGCAGTAAATGCTTTATCCTGGCAAAACTATTTAGGAGGTATAATACAATATCACTGTGATGGTTCCTTTGAGAATTTGAATCACGCAGTGCAAATTGTAGGATATGACAAATCAACTCCCATACCACATTATATTATAAAAAATTCATGGGGATCAAAATTTGGAGACAAAGGTTATATATACATAGGAATAGGCAATAATTTATGCGGTATGTAAGATAACTTATTATCTTATATTTACATATTACAAAATTATTACCTTTATATGAAATACTTTTTGTTAACAGGTATAGCGAATCAAGTTTCATCATTGGATATTTTTTGAGATTTTCCGATGTGATTAAAGATATTTAAAGAAATCATTTGTATTGATCCTAACATGTATATGGAATTTGTACTTAAATGTGTCATTAATCAAGGTACCTTGAGACACGACAATAATATTAATAACGATAACATCCGTTAGATTGTATTTTCAATACTTGTTATACAATTGACGCAATTTTTGCGTTAGTATTATATTATATAATTATCTATGCAGCCACGTTTATGTTTTTTATACATATTCTAATGCACGTTGAACGGCAAAACAAAATAAAGTTTTATGTTGTTGACTTTATATATATATGCATTTGATACTCCATTACCTATCCTAATACATATCCTAACATTTATGGCATCATCAAGTCATAATTTTCCTACGTATCATCCATTGTACATTCAGAATTGTTTTGATTGTCATCTGAATTCCATTCATTGCAAACAACGGATAATTTTGTCTTCATTTGTTTCGTCAATGGTGGAATCATATGGCGAGGTATCAAAAAAGTGGATAGATTGAATAAGTCCAGAAATACCTTGTACCTATCGCTAGAAGTAGAAAATACAAACCATTGGTAAGATGTGTCCTTTACATTATTTTTTATAATATCTTACCTTAAAGTGGATTTTAAATATTGATATCCTGAAGATCCTCCTGTTCCGAGTTGCTGGGTCCCGATCATCCTTTGAACCATCAAAACATGATTATCTAACGGACAAAGAAAGAAATATAAGTAGTTCATACGTTTCAAAATCACATGAATTAAGTAAATAAATGCTTATTCTTACACCTCCATTTTGTAATAAGAGAATCAATATCCATTAACGCGGTTAAAATTTGGTGGGGCTGACTGAATCTTGGTTCGTCGCGATACAATGTGATCATTACTGCACCTTGAAGAGCAGCGTACGCGAATTTTCTTTCTCCTCGAGATACAAGCGCATTATGGAGAGATTCGTTGAAAATCGTCTCGAATACTGCTTTCCGAGAACGTGTATTTGCCAAATGATAATTTCTGAGTTGCTCCTTTGTTTGTTTCTGCGAAAACAACAAGTTGGATTAACGCTTTTCCAACCCATAGTTACTTGTATTTGAAAGCAAGCGATTACTCGAGCAAATTGTTCCTGTTCAACGAGCAGCTTCTCGACAGATCTTTTGTATTTCCCCCAGAAATCAAAATCGTGAGCTTCCAGACCTGGCGTCCTTGCTAACCATTTTTGAACAAGATAACTGAGACTAGGTTCCTCTTCTGAACATTTTATCGCTTCGATAGCTTTTGGATCTCTTCCAAATACTCTGGTGTAACTTTGATTGTACTTGACCCTGTGCTCCTGTTTCACGCCTAGCTTATTCTCCAACAGACGAAACTGTAATGATTGAAAACCTGAGGCTGGACACAGATAGTCTCTAAATGCCATAAAATCCAACGGTGTCATGGTTTCCAATATCGTTACCTGGTCTACTAACAGCTGGAATATACAAATACCATAATTTAAATCATTTAATTTCGCAATAAAGAAATATGATTACTTTTAACATTAATATCTTTTAATATCGAACATGTGTAATTCTTTAAACTCTATTATTACCTTTGTATACAGGGCCACAATCGATTTTACCGAGTCTACGTCTAAGCAGTCGTATCCGCATTTATATGGTTGCCTCGTTTACGCTTATACCACATGAACAAGAAACAATCACTAATCTATATCTATCTACTATTTATTGATAAAATTAAAATACATATACATGTAAAAAATAAAATAAAATAAAAAATTGATAATTCTGTTTATTATTATAGAAAAAATGTTTGTTTCGTTATGGTTTCTGATAGAAGCTATGATTTTTTAATAACTTCCATAAAAGAACACGATTGTATCTTGTATTAAATCCTACTTACTTAGCCCTGCTATATGATTTTACTTGCAATAGAGCAAGAAAAGAAAACGTGACGACCACACCTGCATTCTGTGGTATGGAAAGAGCGCCAATGAGCTTCTTACCTAACTCATCTATGCGTGTCAGTGCAGGGTGTCGCATATCATCTAGCGGTATTAACTTACTTAGATCCCACTATTATTTCTGCAGTTCCCACAATCTTTCTTATTCCGGTATGAAAGAGAAGGAGAAAAGTGACAGTAATGAAAAAGAGTCGCATTGCTAAGAACCTTGACCCGTTTGATAACCTTTCAGGTATAACTATAATAATATACAGAAACAATTTTGACTATGCATTGATCGTGAAAGGTATACGATATGTTTCAAAATCCGATACATTTGTAAAAAAGAACAAAAGATTCAATTTACAGAACAAAAAAAAGCGTATATTGCACAAATCAAATCAACGTTTCGCGTGTTTTTGTTTCTGGCTTTTATTCGGTATCGATAAAGGTTGCCGATATTTGATAAATCCAAAATTTAAAAGTCACGTAAAAATGGAATTTTCAAAGACTCGAATCCTTTTTGTACTAACTTTTATTAGCGACAGATAAAGTAGATCGTATGTCAGTCTTGAAGGGTGACGTTAGAAATGTGATTAGAGCCACCATAGTGGAGCGGCGAGGCAATGCAGCACCCTTGTCATAAATTTCACTGCTCTAATTGGCTTGCGATTAAGGGTCGTTCACATTCTTTCCATCACTGTCATTGTCAACATATGGCCACTGGCCTTCTTTCCCTAGATATGTTTCAAAATCCGATACATTTGTAAAAAAGAACAAAAGATTCAATTTACAGAACAAAAAAAAGCGTATATTGCACAAATCAAATCAACGTTTCGCGTGTTTTTGTTTCTGGCTTTTATTCGGTATCGATAAAGGTTGCCGATATTTGATAAATCCAAAATTTAAAAGTCACGTAAAAATGGAATTTTCAAAGACTCGAATCCTTTTTGTACTAACTTTTATTAGCGACAGATAAAGTAGATCGTATGTCAGTCTTGAAGGGTGACGTTAGAAATGTGATTAGAGCCACCATAGTGGAGCGGCGAGGCAATGCAGCACCCTTGTCATAAATTTCACTGCTCTAATTGGCTTGCGATTAAGGGTCGTTCACATTCTTTCCATCACTGTCATTGTCAACATATGGCCACTGGCCTTCTATCCCTACAGTATAGGATTACCCGGTGTTGCGTTCATGTTGCGCGGAAACCTATTTATCGTTATTTTCTTCACTCATTAAACAATCCTTTGCAGCATAATGTTTAACCGGTCTCATCGTAAGAACCATGAGATGTGATCGTCTCAAGGAGTATCTCTGGTCTGGCTTACTTTTAAAATGAGGACGATGCGATTTAATCTCTTCAAAATTTCCAAGGTCCTTGATTCGTTAAGAACTTGGGAGATCCGATTTTTCTGAACGGAAGTGTGATTGTTGGCGGTGCCGTTCAAGGAATCGTAGCCACTTGGTTCGGAGTTGAAAAGTACTCTGACCGAGTCCAATTCGTAGATAATCTGTTTGAACCAAAGTTCGTATGCTGTGGACCAACAGTGAAAAACATAGTTTCTTTAGCAAGCATTTGATACAGTTTAAGCACTTTATAATACTTAAAACAATTTCCAACAACATAACTAATATGTCAATATCGTGTTAGCAGTGGAAACAGTAAGTACAGTTCGAAACGAACGGATAAAGTTCAACCATTATTATGCAATATGATGTTATGACTGAGCATGTTGTAACGATTCAAATTTTTACCCTGATGAGTGACGATAAAAAGATGTTCATCGTGCACTTCCTTGTTGTACTCGGTGCTTAGCAATCTTTGTGCGGTTAAGATTTTGTCCAATCGAAGGTATTCGCTATAAAGCATACCGGGTCCTTCTGTTAACTGATCATTTTCTTGAACTTCTCTACAAATAAATTATACAATTTTATTGGTCTGTTGTTAAATTTAAATTCATTACATTGTTCATTATCTTAACTGCTTTTATTATTGTCAATTCAAAATGTAACGGTTATTTGGTATAACGCGAAGTTTTGGCTGTTAAATATCTTTAAATCGAGAAAATAGGAGTCTTAGGACAAATTAAAAATTTCTTCATTTAATTATAATATTTTACTATGAAATCGAGTATTACGTATATATATATATACACATGAAAATATTTTTAAAAAGTTACTTACGCAATACCGTCCGATAAGGGACAAGCCATCTTTTTTGACACTTGTAATTTTCTTGACACCAATCACGAATTACAAATTGTACTTTTAGTTTTATACGTGACAGTGTGTCGTTTTACTATGACAGTTACCAGTTGAACAATAAATAAATTTTACGATAAATACCTTTCACTTTAACTAAACTCTTTTCCAAAATGACACTTAGTTAAATTTCAACGAGCATCACTCAGTGGAACGAATAATACAAAGGGATACATGTTGTCAGTGAGGTGGTTGAATCGCGACTAAAAACTGAATGACTACCGACTGGCGAAACTTATCCCTCTTATATTTCCAAGACTGAGAGTACATGAATGAACGATTGATGATTGAGGCTTCTTTATATATTTTCCTATCCAGAAAGCAATCTATTAATAATTTAGTATCTGTGTAAATTTTTATGACACAACTTTCCTTAATCGCCGATTAGAATTAGAATCTCCAAACATTATTCAATCATACAAGGTTAGAACCAATAGGTTATATCCATCGATAATTCGATCCGCACGTTAGGACTGCTCTTACTTTCTCAATTCCAATTCTTATTTTCTGAATTAATTATTAGAGTAACAAACAGAAGTAAAGAATTTTATTTTTTATAAGTGAATTGTTCATTACAGGTAATTAAAATTAATTAGGATTATAAATGATTTAGTAAATTATGGAATTTATTTCAATGTAACTTTTTAATGATCGATAATTAAAAATTTGACTGTACCACTGATACAAAAATTGCAAGTTCTGTTTACCTTTCTTTGAATATTAGTTCGATGTGTTACTGACAGATGTCGCGAGAGGGATAGTTTTGAATTACTGTAGTTGAGAGATTACGATAAGAGATGTCGTAAGTAGTATAATTGAGCAATGGACTTAGCGATAGTTTCTTAAAGAATGAATTTTTTCATATTCTTTTATTATTAATGAGATTAATAAAATTATTTAATATGATACAATATCATAAGAGAAGATATTTCTTAAGATTATTGAAATATTTGTAAATTATGTTATTGATAATTTTCTAAAACATATGGTTTTATCTTTTGTCTATTAAAACGTGCAACAATGAACAGTCAGAATATTGTATCGTATTTGCATTGACGAAGACTAACGAAACATTGCGTAACATTGACCCTGTTGTTGTTTACTAGATTATTTTGTGTCACGAATCAGTAACGCCCTCGAAATTATGTACGATTATACCTGTTGTCGATATGTAATCCAGTGCCGTAGCAAGAATAACGCAACAGGTGTTCTCATTGGCCTATCGTTTCCGATATGTTTTTCCACGTAAAATTGATTTTGTAATCTATCACGAAATTTCCATTAACGAACTTTTTAATTGCTATTACAATGGTTGTTTGCATGCATAAATCATCGTTGTTTGTTTTTCTTTAAACCACTGCTCTTTATTCTGCTTTTACGAGACTCTTAATTATTAATATTAATTAGATACTTGCCCTTATTTATTCACTTTTTTTTTTATTTTGTTATAATAGAATGAATAAGGTGAAGGAAGATTTTATACTGCTTATAGTGGATCGAGAACGATCAGTTACAGCACTGATTTACGAATGTGTATCCGCCTGTGTGAAAATTAGTGAACTAGTATTGCCAATATAAGGCTTTAAGTTTGATTAAAGTGAGCTTCAACTAATGTAATCGTTATATTTAGTTTGTATTAATATGACTATGTTTATTTCATGTGATAAACTGTTGGTAAATTCTTCTTATTGAGCTAGATAATTTCTAGAATATTGCGATGCCTAGCAGAATCAATTGGTAGAGATAATTTACGATTCTTGTCAGTGCTAGTTATCTCGATATATTCGAAGTATTTGTAATACAGCAGAGCTGATAGAACAGTTTCCGACTTACACGTAATGTAAGTAGGTACATATTTCTTTTTCAAAGGAACAGAACGAATACGTTTTAAATTTCAAATCATTGTAACAGTATTGTTACATTGCTGATTTATAAGTTTGTTCAAATATCGGCGAATACGTGGTATTATCGTTTAATTCCCTTTTGTATCAAAACAAGTCATCTTTATGGAAAAAGAAAAGAAAAAATATAAAAGGCTATTGATGGAACGTTGGTAACAATGAAATATATAATAGGGACAGTTGGCAACATTGTCAAGTAGAAGTGAAAGATCGCCGGTATATGTAAAGGACAGCGTCGGAAAAACGAGGAAGATAAGCAATTGTTTGTGTAGTGCTTGTGCAAAAATTTTTCTTTGCTATGATTGTACTGAAATTAAAGAAAACATTGAATTGATTTCTAGTAAAAGCGTTCTAGAGTTATTTATGCGGTTAATTTTAACGTGTTGTGTCACATGATGCGATATTAATGTAAATCACGTTTAGATCGTGAACCGGTGTTTCGTAACAAATAGGAGTAACATCAAGTAGGAAGATATATAAAATTATACTTTTCCCTCTAATGAAAAGAAAAACAATAAAGATTTCTTCCTTCATGGTACGGTACACCGAATGCTCAGATGGCTCTATTTATCACAAATTCTTATAGAATGGATTTATAGAACTATCAATCTTTCGAAAAGTATGCTTGTAAACAATATCGATTTTCGTTTTTTTGTTACTTCACACGCTTTTGATTCGTAGCTGTGATAAATACGAAAGAAATTTTCGTGGTTATAGAATACAAAAGGGAGAATGACAGGAAATGATTGGAAATTAAAACGAAACACAGACTGATTTTCTTCGTCTATTGCAGTGATTCTCAATCTATGGTATGCGTACCATCAGTAGTACGTTGAATATTCTCAGGTAATCGCAAGCTAAACCAAATTCTATCACATTTGAAAATTATATGTAGTCCGTTATATTTCAATATGTATATACTGAGTACAAAATGGTATGTGATTTGATCACTTGTTAGTTGAATAGTACATGAAATAAAAGTTGAAAGCCACTGGTCTATTGAACGCATATACAAAGCAGAAACCAACAGAGTGTACTGAACTGCCGTTATTGCTGCGGTTAACTGATTTTTGTTCTACACTGTAGATATAACAATATAACATACGGAAGGGATGGCAGGGTGAGACGAGGAAAGTGGACCTCGTCGTACTCGTATCAGAGTTTCTTATATGTATTATGTTACGTTATAGAAATCGGACGAAGGCTTAACAGATTATAGATACCTGAATTTCGTTATTTGCATATTGTAGTATCGTATTAAGGATATATGAGTATTACTTTGTGCAAGAATGTTAAAAATGTATCAATATGTTACCGATGTTTAAAGATTTTATCATTTTTACAGGAAGAAGAAATGTAGGACGTCTTTTTATACTTGCATGATATTACCCCAACGTCTTCCATAGTACTAATGGTGGCACATGCTGTTGAGCTAAAGCTCGATGTCTGCGAGGTTAACCTGACAAAGAAAGAGAACTGGTTATCGGACAAAGTTGGAAGCTCTGCGCTTTTTCTGACCGATAATACAGAATGCATTATCTTGAGATTAAGTTTAAATATCTGCTTGTTTATAACTTTTCTTGTTCTTTGTTAGACTGATTCTATTCACACGATTCTTACGTTGAACGATAAAGGTTTTATTCTTTCGGACAGGTAACCGCTAGTTACTTTTATTTTTTTTTTTTTTTTTTTCATTCAATATCTGTTTTTCGTTCGGTAACCAATATCATTTTAGCCCTTTGCGGACGAGTGTCGGATATATCCGCCCAACTCTCGTGCTGCGGCTGGCGTACGTCTGTCGTCGTAAACGATAAGATACACATGGGTATACTAGCCTAAGAAGTCAAGTTGCCTCTCAATGAAATTAGAGACTTTTGAACGATGAAGTCTTATCTTCAATATAATGTAAACTTAGGATGCAAGACCATGGTAGGGTGAATATTTTCTTTACTGCGCCCTCCTATACATGTCGTCCACAGCGACGCTCGCCCGTCGAGCGGCTCCGTCCGCAAAGGGTTAATTGTAGCCATGCTATCGTTTCTTACTTGGTGGATAGACGATTCTCTATATCAGACAGGTCTGTGGAAACGAGTGTTTATCAATCAGTTTCTCCACTTTGAGTCGTCAATACTTTTTCTTCCTATGAATAATGCCCCCGTGAGTGACTCATTCTTCATGTATACACCAGGGAGAGCAAACTTCATTTTACATGTATCAAGCTTCCTCCATCTCTTTCACAGTCTCCTTATCCAATGGTGCCATCAGGTGCGTTTTCCCCATTGCTGGGAAACACACATGAGACAATGGTAGCTGAAAATAATTCTAAGCGAAGTAGTTTCTTAAATTTATTTCAACCTCGGCATATAGCAAACAAAAGAACGAATTTTATCACGGTGAATTCGACTACTCGTATCATCAAATGGAAAAGAAATACGCTTATTGTACGTTTACATGGCACTTGGTTTGCGTACTTCTATCGATGCTACTTCCGTAGACAAAGGCGTGCGTCCATCGGGGCGGCCGATTAAGTCGCGCGAAAGGAGGTTAATGCGATTCGCCTTTCTGCGCGTATGTACGCGCAGGAGCATTATGTGATACCAGCAGGAAGTTCTTGAGCATCCTATGTACCTTTTACGGCGCCTAATAAAGTCGGCTAACTGCACATTTTTGTCCGTGATGGGCCAACTGCGAGCGACTCGTTTCCGGACGTGTACTTCTACACTTATAACTACCAGCAGGCTCGAACTAATTTTACAAGTTTTTAGTTTTCTGAAGAGAAAAAACGAGCAAGCTCGTAATTTGTAGACAAGCCTACGTGAACTCGGAGACGAAAAACTCTGTGTGAAATAAAAAGCGAAGGAAACATAGTTACAAAGATATTTAAAAGAATGTAAACATTCGATCCGTCTCCCTTCATAGGATTTGAGAGTTTGCTAAATACCTTGACGCCATAGATGTACTGAATAATATCGTGGGGTATTAATTTCTTATAGAGACAGGTTATCTTGCTGGAACAAGAGGTCTTAGAAGTCAGTGAGATTGACTTTGACAAAGTCCGTTCCCTTTACAAATAACAAATCGTATCCGGAAACTTGGCGCAATGTTGACTACTATATAGCTGTTTATGATATAAAGCTATCACACTGACAGATAATTGATAATTCCACAATCTCTTGACATTGAAGAGGAATTATTCGAAAAGTTTACAGTTAATGCTATTATATTTATTATTATATCTATATTATTATACCTCATAAATCTAATTTTCTCGTTTTATTTATTTTTTTTTTTCTAACGTTATAATACTTTCATTTTTCAATTTTATAGAAATTAATACTTTTCCCTAGGAAAGATTTTGTTGAAGAGATGGCATAATGAAGACAGACGTTTGCGTATTTGAAGGGATTTTTAATTCAGATGAAATGACTTGTTGGTAGTGATTACACTCTTGCGGATATTAGTTGCGTTACGAACGCGACGAATTCCGTGGTAAGTTATCCTCTTACCACTGGAACTAGTATGATTCCGGGAGTTGGAATACGTTCCTCATAATGTTTTCCCAGGTTCTGGTGAATATGGATGCGTATTCGAACGTGAAGATTTGGTTAGAAAGGTGCAAGAGTATATTTCCCGGCTACGAGGAATACTATGTTCTAGATCTGTAGAAATTAGATGATTGGATTCGTCTCAAAATGTCCTAATCAACATTCGTTCGAAAAAGGTATATCACACATTTTATTTTATTCTTACGTTCATTCGAAACTGGTAGTATTTTTAAATATATAACCATGTAATTGTACAATGGAATTCAACTCAAATAAATTTGTATTGATATTTTTCTCTTTTCAAATTCTTTGCTCTGCTTTTCCTTAATATGAAAATCCAAAAAGTTATCTTTCAATTAACGACGCATTATTCGTCGCCTGGCGTGCTGCAACGCTTCAGCGGAGTACTCATTTTGTGAGACAGTGCATTGTGCGTATCGTTCGCCGGACATGGAGTTTCCCGGAAAGGTAGATAACTCGTTGCACGATTAACATTCTTTTTAATATTTTCCACTCATAAATATATGCCTCTCTTCCTTTCTGTGTCTCTGGTTAGTGGCATTATCGGAGACACCCAGCCGCGCTAGCGATATTTGACCACGGGTACACAGCAAGGAGCAACGATAGCGAAGGATAGAGTTTCTGTTCTCCGCTACCATCGTTATCGCCATCGACGACGCGACGTCCTTTCGTCCGCGTACCTGTGATCATTACGAAACGAGAACGAGATGTCCTATTTGCACTGGACACGTTTACACAGTGGAGCTGCAAATTGCAAGCGTTTAATCAGAATCTGCTATACTCCGTACCGTTTCGTAACCGTGAAAATTGTGACCGGTATCCGTATTCTCGATTATTACGACGAACGTTTAATTTTCATTCGCTTAATAGCCAAACTGTACAAGAAAAATCGGTTTCGAGTTTCTCGCTCTCGTCGAATTCTTGGTAGCCGTGGTGGGTGCGGAAGTCGAAATGAGGAGTATTTATCGTAATTGGTAACCGAGAAAATTCACGGTCTACCTTGGCCAAGTCGAAACGGTGTTAACAACAGCCTGGTCGAATCCACGTAATCTCCGCGTAATTATTGACATTGAACTCGATGCTGCAACAGATTCAAGTCTTACTTGTTTTCCTTCTTTGTTCCCTCATCGAGTCTCTTTCTTACCATATCGCACGTTTGATTGCAATTTCCAGTAATTAATACTTTGCATCCTTTGACGGTTTCCTGCTTAACGCTATCCAACATGTTTCCTCCGATCTGATGCATGCGAATATTCTCTTTCTCGTCGCTGCCTCCAAAAATAGACGCGAGTCAGCGCGATCTCTCCGCGAATCTGGACCCATGTTTCGTTTAGAAGGCTATCGTACTCGACGAAGAGACTGATTTCAGAGAACCATAGGAACAGGCTCGTGGTTTCGCGAGAATCGATCGAGCTTCACGAATCTAATTATTAATGCGCGATTGCAACTGTTAGATTATGTGTTTTGCAATATCACCGATTTGCCTAAGCGACCGTGTGCATTGTTTTCCTAGATGGATATTGTATGGAAAACAGCGCGAACATGGGAAATCCACGAGCTGCGTGAGAACTCGGTTAATTAGCGACCAATTGGCTCCTTTACCGTGTCCTTTGGCAAACCAGACGTACCATGTTTTCGCCGATCTTCTTTCCCTTGAACCTCTGCGTATTTATTAGGTAACGCACGAAGACGATATAACGACGGAAACAGGTCTTTCACTTTTTCTTCCCAGCGGATTCTCTTCTCTGCGTGCATTCATGCAACTGTTTCTTTATTTTCTGACGTAGTCGCCGCATCACCCGATACCAGGTCGGTATAATGCAACGCATATGCAGCCAGCATTCTCGATTTCCACGAAATAAGACGCGGAGGCCGAGCTCCGGTCGGACAGGTTCTCGCTTTTTGGCTCGTTTTTTAAATACCACGTGCTTCGTATTTTTAGATTCGGTCACGGGGCTTAAAAAATACAGCCGGATAGGATTTTCGACTCGGTTACGTGGAAATTCGCTATTCACCCGCGTATCTGCTAATAGGATTACCACCCGTGGCTGATAAAGGGTAGAAAAAAGAAGGACCTCTTCCCAGCCGAGGTGACCTCGCTGGTTTCGGGAGAAAACGAAGAAGATCAGGCGTCTTCAGTTTCTTGGTCGCGTAGCGTTAAAAGCTCCTCCGAGACGCGGGGATATTTACAAACCGGTGGACTCGTCTTCGAGCCATTTATTTCTCTTCACGCTGCGAGAACATTAACGCGGGTATACGATTGCTCTTTTTTCCCTCTCCTGCGATGTCTACCTTTCTTGAAGTTACACCTCTACCTGCCTGAGCCGAGCTGCGGCAAGAACACTCGTATTCCCGTCGAGTCTATTTCATCTCTGTTCCAGCAACCTTTAATTCGTCCCGATTAAATACGTGCTTGTTGTACTCCTTTCGTTGGATTATACCATGGAAACGCGAATATTTAATTCTGCTCTACGAAAGAAATCGCGTGGATCTCTCGACGAAGTTGCCACGCGGAAAATCTCTGATGCACTCGAAAAGAGAGGTTCCTCGAACCGCTTCCCTGTACCGGTTCACACGATTTTTCGCTGGCACCCGTCGTGAAAAAAAAAGAGACTGCTTTTCGTACGTTCGTTACAATAGACGCAGGTGTGGGATGTCAGCAGAGATTGAAAATGGTTTCACTGGAAGACTTTGTTGATGAAAGTGAAGGGAAATATTCATGGGAGATTCGTCATTGAGGATGCAGGAAGAGGCACTGTTTCGAGCGATATTTACGTCATCGCGTGTTTACCAACGAGCTCTTAAGATTACCGTTTCGTAAGTGGCCTTTAGTGAATCATGTTCATTATCGAAATTTTGTTGGACTTTATTAGCCTGATAATTCATCGGGAATAAATCGTTTCGATTAATTTATGCATCGATGTGGTTTCCTTTATTTTCAGTAAATAATTAATGACCTTTAGCAGCGAAAAAGATAACTCCATTTAAAGATGAACGAGAATCCGTTTATTTCGACGATAACACGCGAATTTCGGTCATGTTCCCTATGTTCCTTCGAACAATAATTAACTCAATAATTACACGATTCCGCGTGTGTTTATTTTAATCCGTACGAATAACATTAACGAATACTAATTAATCACCGAAACAATCGTTTGGCCGATGAGGGGATGAATTTGGCTAATGGGAATGATAGCTCGCCGCACATGATTGGTTTCAGTTGAACGTTTCAATACAACGAGAGGTCAGCGAATCGTCCCCTTTATCTCAAGTCTCGATCGCGTTTATTTGCTAAACAAATTAAATGTAAACAAGTTAAATGTCAGTAACGTACTTAGAATGTAAAGGCATAACGATTTACCAGGATTTGAGAAGAATTGGCCGAAAAATAAATTTTCTCTGTTCATTTCCCGTGGTTATACGATACAACGGTTACGCGAGATTTTTCGGTTTGCACAGTTTCGAATATCCGTGATCAGTGTAATAAAACAAATCGAACGTGCTGCCCGACAATTGCGAGGTACTGGCGGAAGAATTGGCCGAAAAATAAATTTTCTCTGTTCATTTTCCGTGGTTATACGATACAACGGTTACGCGAGATTTTTCGGTTTACACAGTTTCGAATATCCGTGATCAGTGTAATAAAACAAATCGAACGTGCTGCCCGACAATTGCGCCGCAAAACAATAATGTTACTGATTATTCATAACATCGTTTAAATTTTAAATCGATAGGATTACTGTGCGCGTTAAGAGTTCATGATAATTCCGCGCGAGTTTGAATCACTGAACCTCTAGCGTTTGTGTCAAGAATACGCTTTCCTATTTCTATCAAAGGATCTTTTTCTCGGATCGTTTAGATCACCCGCGGTGAACCCTTGTCTCGACGTCTCGGCCTTTCGCAGATCTACAAATCGTTGTCCTTCGAATGCACGATGAGCAAATTCACGATTATCGATCTTTCGCAGGATTATCTCCTCTCCCTCATTCCTTTCACTGTTCTAGGAATCGAGTTAATAGGAATTTCGCTATCAGCGAGACCGATTTTTCCGTCACACCTTGTCAATATCTTGCAAGGCTGCGAAACGATCGCGTCAAAACAAACAAAAAAAAAACCTGATATCGATAAAATAGACTGAATCAGAGAATTGGGGATTAAAAAGGAGTCAGGCAAAACGAAGGGGTAGAGGAGAAGAGAAACGAACGAAGTTGAAGAGTATCGGGCCCGAGGGAATCATTTGGGTGAGAAATATACGCGTGCAATCGTGTCGCTGTGTACGAGCCTATAAATACATATTCACGAGCGGATGTTGAGGCATTGCTAAGGTCCACGTGGTCGTGGATCACGGTGGTGGCAACAGTCGGCCTCCGACCGTCGTCCAAGTGTGCATAAACGCGAGCCGGTGTGTTTCTCTTTTACGAGACGAGCAGCGAGAGCGAGGAGGATCGTGAACCGAGGGAACAGGTCGGGACGAGTTCCCTTTCGAATGGTGTTTTCGTCCCGAGTAGCTACCTTGAGGAAGTAGCGGCCGTTCGATCGCAGCGTTTGCCAAAATCCGCACAGTGGCCCGGGTCCGAGCTTCGCCTCGACCGGAGATCGCGACACGACACCTTCACCTGTGTCCTCGAGTCGTCTCGACGACGGAACGACGATCCGCTGCTGATCTTGGCCCTTAATCGCGAGACTAGAGATCGGTGCAACGATCCCTGCCGTTTTTTCCCTTTTTCCCGCGCCCGGTTACGGTGTGTGCACGCGGTGTTGGTGACTGCGGTTTCACGAGTTCGCGACCCGTCAGATCGATGAAGCTCGAGTGATATTACAGCTGCCGCGTTGGCCTTTGTTCGCGGATAAAGCGTCTGCTGATCTATCGATCCGCGCGATTCCGAGGAATTCATCGAGCGAGAAAACGTAAGTAGCAAACATCGTGATTGCATCGTTGCGCAAAGAGTCGGTATCGTTTACCGATCAACGCTTCTCTCGATGTTGGAGCCATCTCTCGCGTTGGCGTTCGCCTCGTCCAGGAATTACGCGCAACGCGAAATGCAAAACGTCGAATTGAAATTCAAAACGGTCAGACGTGGTCCGTTGTGCGGTTTGTTTTGATGGCTTCGACCATGTTTCCCCTTGCGGCGTCGCGTTTCTTCTTTTTCTTCGGGGAGAATATTTCAAGCCTTTCCTCCTACGCGCCTTCTTCTGCTCCTTTCTCAGCTCCTTCTTCTGCTTCTTCTGCTCGCTACGAGTTCGCTGTTACCTTTTTCATCGATTGTCCCCCGATTGTCTCTTCCTATGCATGCTCGGGCAGAATTTTCGAGAGCCACGACGCGACGCGGAGCGTCTCGATGGAGTCTTACCGGTCCAAGCTGACTCGGACGCCTTCGTCTTTCCAACGCGACGCGAACTTTCGATCTACTGTTCTCGTAGCTGAGAACACGCGAAGAAATGTAAGAGATACGGCGACCAGACTCCTTGAGATCCTTTTTTCTTCTTTGCCCATCGGCAAGGTCTACCCGCGGTGATGGCATCGGGAAACTTGCTCGACCAGCTACGCTCCCGCTTCAATCTGTTTAGACTTCCGAGAAAAGCGATGTTGCTGTTCATTCTAATTAAGTTTGACGGTCTTGTGTCGATCTAAATACGTACTTATGTCGATACGTAATATCTAAATACGTTGTCATCGACTGCTGATTAAACGCGTTTCGATCGGAGCACGATGGCATGAATTTTTACGAGAGCAGGGGGTCAGAGATCCATCGTTGGCCTCTGATATCGAGGATCTTCCTCGATAGACTGTGAACGTGATATTCCTGTACCACGATCGTTGCAAATTGGCGTGCAAGGATATCGAGGTATCGGAAAAAGCGTTAATCACTGTTTTCTTACCTGTCTTGTGCCGACTCGTCGACTTTGAACCGTGTAATCCTATTACGTCTGTGGGGGTCCTCCCCCATGGTCGTTTTGAAGTCAGCTAGTCACAAGTATCCTCTGTGGTGGTGGCATGGATAGAAGAGACGGTAGGAAAAGGAAGGGATGTATTTCGTCCCTGGCCTGTTAGCCCGGACTCATCAGTAAGGCTACCCTAGCAGGCCCTGCCAATTTAACATACGTTTAAACCCTATCAGGTCCTGTCTTAGGCACTGGTATACTATTGGAAGGTCGGGAAGTTATATATATAGGAATTGGGGTTTTTCCGAGGACTTGCGAAAAAGTCGGAATCCATCTAGTGGTGAGGATGAGAATGATGGTCGCTACACGTCCTTAATGATCGAGAACATTTCGTTAATAAGGAATCGATCGTGATGGTAACCGCAGTCTGGTGTTTTTAATTGTAAATTACAGAGTAGTAAATCTCGGGTTGTCAGTCGTTTGGAGAGGAAGAGGGAAGAGTGACATTGAGACGGAATGATGTTCATTAATCAGCGTGTGTGTAGGTTTTCTTTGATTCGTTTAACGAAACGTGTTCGTTTATGTCCCAAGGAATATCGCGGATTTGAACGATACGGAAGTAAAATGTACGCTTCTCGACTTTGATCAACTTTGGTTTTCCAATTATCGTGTACACCACGAGGATAATTCTGCGCCAGTGTCTCTTGGGAACGAGACATCCTTCCTCCCATTATTGTACCCCCCGAGGGAAAGAAGATAAACTGGAAATTCCTATTATTTCATACACGTTCTCATCGTTATCGCGATAGACACCCCCGGACGATGTACCGCGTGCTTCGCTCGTACGTAGCTGGTTGGCATAATTTACAAACGCAGTGAAAGTGCACACGATCTGTGACGCGCTAATGAATGAAACCGTCCACGAACCGGAACTATAGCACCTGAAACGAGTTTCTTTACGACCGATAACTCAACGGCAGACGATTGTCAATAGGGCATAGCGACACGTGAATTCACGGTCGCGAGTGTACGCTGGGTTACGTCACGAAATTTTATTCAGTCAACCCGACGACCGATTGCTCATATGCATATTTTTATTACGCTACCACGAAACAGGGAAAACTTTAGATTTGCTACAGGAGTTTCTACGTCGCAACCAGCCAGTGAGGGCACGTTGGTTTCGAGACTCTTCTTCTTCTTCTTCTTCTTCTTCTTCTTATCCTCAACAACTCGCCTTTGCCACGGTGTTCGGGAGGTTTTCGAGAATTTTCGCAAACGCATCCGGGAATCTCTGCGATTATAGAAATGACAGAGCATAGATTGTATTTTTCAATCAATAATTACCTCGGATCTTCGTAATCTTGGACTGAAGTAATGACGGGTGTACGGAACGAGTACTCGTGCGCGAGCACGCTAGCCGATTTGGAGGTCGACCATCGCGAATACAAACACGTCGTTCGGTATGTTTATTTCCCGCAACGATCGACCGGTTCCTGCCTTCGAAATCGTGGATTTCGCGAAATTTGTATCAAACGTATATTCTACGCGATGAATCTGTAATCTATGTCTGCCGATTATTTCGTGTTCCAACAGCGTCGAAAATAGTCGACGACTTCCGTCCACCATTTTAGTCTGGCAATTTACGATCAACGAGGAATAATTGTGAGTCGGATCGGGAGGAGAAATTGATAGGGTGTCGTGCACGCCGATCCGTGCTTTAATTTCGTAATTGAAACAATGCGACGGTCAAAATGCGGCAAAGTTCGGGGAAAATTGACAAATAAATCAGTTGGCTCTCCTTTTTGTTCCCATCTCGTACGGGAATTACCTGTAAAATATAGAATGAATCGCGTACAAACGATAACGTCGGCCGTATTAATAACTGAACGCGATCATATCAATTTCAGGAGGTTCGATATCAAAGGCAAAGCTTATTTCATTACGTTTCCGAGCGGCATGCATTAAATTCTCGTTTAACATTCAGGCTATAATTTATTCACTGGAAATTAGAATATATTAAACGTTCGAAGTTGGTTCACTTTCAAATCCGTTATTTCGGCGAGAAATAAAGGTCGAGCATGTATCGGAACGCTGATACGACACGTACGAATGATCGACTTCGTTCTTCGTACGAAAAGCAATCCGTACGGCTCATTGTTCCGTTTCCCCGCAATGGATCCCGGAGTAGCACGCGACAGAGTGAAGCGCATTTCCGGTTGCCGGTGTATCGACAGACACGCTTGTTACGCTCTTCAAATATTTGTTCTGCTCTGCACGATATATCAGTGATCGGTTTCTCTCGTTCAATCTTGATTTATGGATCGCGGCTCGCTTTTCGAGTGCTCCCCATCATCGATCCTGCCATGACATTTTTGAAATTTCCTCGAAAATCAACGGTGCATCGGGAAAAAGTTGTTCCAGGAGTTTCGTTTTTCTCATTCGATTCACGAAGCAGCGGGATGTTGAATTCTGAAAGGAAAGAGTCGCGAGAAGCACGATGAAAGAGGTGAAACGTCTTGCAATACTTCTTTCTACTTTCTGCTTTTTCTGCGTTCCACGGGATGACAGAGTTTCTGCAACTTTCCTAGCGAATTTTTTCGAAATAGGATAGTCTGCTATTATCAAACCATCGTATTTTACTGTCGGATTAAGCCGAGATTAAATCGAGCTTTCGTATATTTTTCTAATCCAGTCGGATGTCACGCGAGTCCGTATAGCGGACAGACGCGAACGACACGTGCCAATGTAACGATTCATTTTTCAGATCTATCGCGACATCGGCGAAGATGAGGCTCGACCAGATCGGACTTCTCTTATGGAAGAATTACATCGTCCGAAAACGTCAGCCGGTAATTATATTCCGCGAAATGAGAACTGCCCTGAATTTCTAGGGACGAGACGGTAGCTAAAAGCACGTGCACAAACTTCAATGTTTAGGGCATATTGGCTCTGGTATTCGTATGGCCCGTGGTCGTGTTCATGATCCTCTACACGATTCGCGACAACGTGGATCCAAAGTACTATCCAACTTGCCAATTTCCTGCCAGGTCGATGCCGCAGAATGGCCTGCTCCCATTCGTTCAGAGTTTCATTTGCAGCATCGGGAACCCCTGCGATCCTCTATCGGAATACGAAGAAGTACCATCTTACAAAAACGCCACGTTAGTACAGCAAGTTGCTATACTTCTTCCTAATATCTTCTTTTTCTTCTCTTCATTTCACCATAACAGCGTGTCACCTGGCTCCACGGAATTTGACAAATTTTCTTAAATCTTCCTACGAGATACGAAAATTCTCGTGTAGCGAGACTGGAAGTGGCGCCAAGTGGCCCTCAAACTCGTCCGCTTATGTTACTTCGATGAAAGCATAGTTGGAAATTTATTTTCACGATAGTCTAGGTCCACTGATGCTAGAGTTGCAGCCGATGCTCGGTAACGAAACGATTCTTTCGGCTGTCAGCACGTTGCCGCACAGCATCCAGCTCCTAAAGTCAATGGCGCAGATACTCACCAGACCGGAAATCAAAGCGTTGTTCGGTAGGCACGCACGAGTTTCTCAACACCTCGTTTCCTATCGCGGGTATTGCTGACTTTACATCGAGTATACGAATTTGTCAAACTAGATCGAGGTATTCGACTGGGTGATCTGTTCAACAACCACGAGGAGATCAAGAACCTTCTCAGGCTGCAGGTACCGCAAGCGCGAAAGGAATTGATCGACGAACTGTTCGACTCGTCCATAAAGTTGCTATACGTCAGTATCATGCCATTCAACCAGACAATCTTTATCCATCCCCCGACGGAATTGTTTGCAACATTTCTCCGACTGATTTTCAGCTCATCGAGGCATTCGGTTCGTCTAATATCGACGGAGTGATTTGTTCGCCGGAAAGTTTGAAGAAGTACTTGATTCTGCCAAACGAGAAAGACTACGCGGAGATTTCGAAGATCCTCTGTGACATCGACTCGGAGAAGATACCCAACATGCTCGAGAGTTTGTCCAAGCACCTTGATTTCTCAGGGTTGCTGGAAATGGCGGACCGGGTAATGGCGAAGTTTCGCGACTACGATTTTTTCAAGGACTTGAAGAGCGCCGTGGAAACGATCCTGGACCTTGAGATCGTGAAGAAGTACGTCCCCGAGTACTTGAGGATACACCAATGGCTGCCAAAGATGATAATGGTGTTCAAGAACGTCACGTTTAAAGAGATCGATCCGAGTTTGTAAGTAGCCACGTCGAGTTTCGATCGAATTTTCGTCGAAGAAAATACATATTCCCGAATTTAATCCTAGCGTGCACAAGTCGTTGGAAGTTTTGGATCCGGTGTTCTCGGAGGAAGAAGACTGGTCTACCGTGCGACAGATATTTTTGAGACTGGAAAAGTTACTACAGTTGGCAAAAGGGATGATGGAGGGTCAAACCACCGAATCCACCGACAGTTTCTTCGCGATAGTGCAACGTTTGTCCAGTACGGCTCGAACCGTGTTCGGGGACATAAGGAAGACCGAGAATTTGACTCAAGTTTTGGATTTGAGCATTGCCATGCTGCACGATGGCGCCCAATTGACGGAGAAGATTTTGGACCGTCACACGGACGACTTGCAGCTGTGAGATTTTTCAGCTGTTTATGCGGAAAGTTTCTCTGCGAATGTGATATCGTGGAAAAATTTCGAAACGTTTTCTTTCACAGATCAGCCGAGATCATAGATGGACTGAGGGATTTTCTGTCGCAAAAAGTTCTAGCCATGTTGAGTTACATTTTAGCCGGCATGCAAATTACCGCCAGGTTGCTGCACCATGTCGCTGTTATTCACGAGGACGTTCAGTACAGAATTTACAATATTTCCATAAATCATAAAGACACGGTGCAAAAATTGCTAACAAACGTGGACCCGAATTTTTATCGAACACTCGTTAAATCCTTCTCCAAACTGGACTTCGTAGAGGCGAGTAAACATCGTAGTTTTTGTACACACCTACACACCTTCTCGGAACGCGTAACGTGGTCTATGCGTCTTTCAGAATTTCGTGGAAGAGGTCCGGTTCAAGAATCCCGGTGATTATTTTTGCCGAGATGAGACGATGAACGAAATCTTCGACTTCTTCAGGGCCGAGAAGAACGAATCTAGGTACATCGAAGAAGTACTGTGCAGCGATGACGGAAGGAAGTTTATCTCGGACGTGTACGACAGTTTCGAGCTGAAGAACTTCGAAAGCCTCGTAAGCGTTGTTTCGCTCGAATTGACAGGAGCAATCTTCGTAACGCGTTCTCATGGTATGGCGGTGACGTTGGCAGGTAAGCGACTCTTTGCTAGCTGCCATCACCATGATGTTCAACCAAGTGATCGGTGTGGAGAAATCGAACCTGACGTCGGTCGTGAGCAGCACGAAAGAATTGGTGTCGTACTTGAAGTTACCGAGCAGGCCAGATCCCGACTGGACTGCCTTTAAATTTAGCGAAGGATGGGGTGAAGCTTTCGAAGAAACTCAGCAACAAGGAAGAATGAACATGTGAGTGGCGCCATTAGACACGTGATCGATTTCTTTCTCTGTAAGAAAGGTTAGCCTGTAAGAACTACTTACCTCTGCTCTCTTCAGCCTGGGTGTCCACTTGAGCATAGCGAAATCGATCGGGTCCACCAGTTTATCTTACGCGGTTATTAAATCTGACCTGTCGGACATGGACGTACTCGCTGGTAGAATCCTGAATCATTTACGGTTGAGACCCACGACTTGGATCGGTGAAATTAGACAGAGGAAGATGGAGCTGATTGAATCGTTCTACTTGACTGTAACCGACAAGGATAAGGTTGGTAGACAATTATGAAATTAGTTCATCAGTTGGATGCTTCTTTTGATGACAAGGAAATGTTCTGGAAGAACGAGTATCGTGTATTCCTGCTATCCTAGAAATCTGTCTATCGTTTTATCGAATCCACTTTTCGTTCAACAGGCTTTGAAAATTCTGGAATACGACGATTTCATGGATGCCTATTGCAGGAGATCGAATGAGACGACTTTAATAAATTTTCCAAAAGGTTCGAACGAAACACTACTGAAATCATTGGTTTGCCACGTTATAACGATAATGGATTCTGAAATAAGGACTGAAATATCGCGCAACGAATCTACGGATTTCAACTGGACGGAATTCAACGTGAAAGTGATCGAGATTTATCGGTATATCGATAGTTTGATCTATCAAGAGGATTCCAACTACGATTTCGCTCGGTTGGAAAAGTTAAAAGAAGATTTCCGGACATCGTGGAGCATCGATGTCAGCGTCAAAGACGTTCTCGAGCTGAGGTACGCAAGCAATGAAAATAATGTCTCCTATCTTCCCGCATTACGCTTCTAAATGGCAGATATTTACTTTGGTGACACGTTACATCTTTCTGCAGCGTAGGTTTGATCTGCAAGTTCTTCGGCCTGATACAGAATCATCCTTTCAATATTCCAACTGAAATCAATAAGATAAACGCGATTGGCTTGGCGTCCAACGTGATCTTCAACAACATTGAAAGGGTTGTTGATGGAATTTTGAAGAACAATCAAACGGCGAAGTTGAGCGAGATGCTGCCGGACTTGCCGGAGACGACGATTCTCGCAAGCGCCATTTTGAGGAATCTGTCTCCTCTGGTTCTCGACGTGGTCGACATTATCACCATGAAACCTATTCATCTCGTAAGCTCTTTAACTCGAGCGTCGAGAGTATCGGTTAGAAAATTCCTTAAATCGTGCTTTCTTCCGCAGATATCCATTCTGGGCGATTACAAATCGCAAGAAAAACAATGGCCCTGTGTAGAAAAGGAGAGCGTCGGGTCTGCCATGGAGTTGCGCAGCGGTACTCGCGAAATAATACGAGAGATCGAGAGGATATCGTGCAATCCAGGTTTGTTCATTCGAGAATGGCAAGAACATCCTGTGCTAAAGAAGGCAAGAAGGATCGTGAGTAACCTGAAAGAATTTTATCCTCGATGCTTTTCGTTTGGTACACAACGAATCTTGTGCCAGTTTCAGCAAAAGGACAAGACAAGATTACCGCCTTTCAATTGGTCGGAAGGCTACGTAAATTTTCGTCAACTGGCTAGCAAGTTGGACGATCTGATTAACGACGCGAAACAGGTTGTTCTAGAGGAACAACCGAATTTGTGGGAGCACCTGGAGTCTCTCGTGCCGGAAGTTAAGAGCATATTCGACAAGCGATGGCCGGACGTGCAGAACGATGGCAGGTAAATCGTCGTTATCTCGGGGTAACGCTATAGATTGCTAAAGCGACACGAAGAGTTTGTAAATACGATTTTCGTGTCTTTATGACTTAGGAGTATCCTTGATTACGTTGACATGGAGTTGGACAAAACGGTGTGGGCTTTTCAAACTTACCTGTCGGCCAGCAATGTTTGGAGGGATCGGAACATGCCCATTCAAGATCTCATTCTCGTGCTTACGAAGTTTTCCTCTCAGGTCCTTCACAAGATAATAAAGACTGCAACTAACATCCTGCGAGATTGTAAGTATTAACTTTTATCCATTTTACTTTATCCACTGAGTTTATGCAAAACCTTGTATAATCGAATTTTTCTAAAATAGTAGTTTCTTTGTAATTTTGATCATCGTACTATACACGTTGTAATAAATCAACTCGTTCCTCAAGGGATTAAAATTTATTCTTTGTTTCCAGTGTCACCGCCGGATTCTCCGCGAAAGCTGAACTTCTTAGCATTGTTGGGATTTTACAAAAGATCGCCGATCTCGATTTACTACTACGAATTACCCAATATTTTGGCCACATTGATCAACGGATTAGACAATATGAATATCGGTAATCGGATTGACACTTTACTGGAGAACATGTACAGTGGCAGTGTTTCTTGTTCCCAATTGTTCGAATGGTGGTCAGATTCTCTCGTCGGTCTCGACCCCGAACAATATAGGGCCCTGAAGAATTTCACCTGCGACCTTGACCCTGAAAACGTCAATGCTTACACCGATTTGTTACTGTCGGAGAGTGATCTCTGGCTGAAACCTCTTAACAAATACCGATCTTACACGTTTACAGTGATCGGTGACATGTACGATTTTGTAACCGAGGTCTCCAAGTTATACAAGGATTTAGAGAACAAGGACGTGGAAGTCGAGGTACTATTCTCGACGGATTATTGGTTAAGCACTATTCGCAAGTTAAAGAGCGCTCTGGAGCTCCGCGGTAAAGAGAAACCGGTAAGGTGAATCGATCGTTTGGCAGAGTGTCAAGTCTCTTGTACAATTGTCGATGATAACGAAATAATTTTTAGGACTTGAAAAGAAATCAGAACACCATGTTACTCGAGGGTGTTACCGAGGGTTTGCTTCACATCGCGAATGCGATGAACAATATTAAAACGACCAATGGCGATGTCCACATCTGGGACTTCGTCGAAAGCAGCGACGCGCGCCAGTTGCTGAAGATCCTCGATACTCATCCCGAAGAAACGATCATTTTGATATCCAGTCTCTATTCGAGTACCTGGATCCTGCTGTTAGATAACATCGAGACTTTCGAAAATGTGAAGAAAATCATGTGTAATTTCCGGTTTAACTCGAGCTACTGGTCCACTCCGAATAGAACTCGGTTCATAAATGAAATTTGCTCCTTCGATCCTTACCAGTTACTGCAAAGTGTCACCAGTGCAGAGTACTATGTAAGTAAGGTTAAATGTCAGAAATCATTCTCTTCTTTATCGTCTACGACACCACATGCTTTTCACAGGCCTTAGTGATCCATCGAAGACGCGTCTTGTCACGACCGATACAGTTGAGTTCCGCTGTAATCAAACTGCTGGACGCCACGTTGAGCCTTCAAACAGACGGGGAGTTCAAAATCGTCGTAAAGTCGAGAATTTTCAATTCGACCACCTGGAGGAACCTGTCGAACGAGACCTTGTCCGGGATTCGAGAAGTGAATCTAAACATGGCGAAAGCGACACTAAAGGAGTTAAGCAGATCGCCTAAGCAGTTTGCCAAATTGGTCCGAACGATTCATGTTCTGGACTTCACGCTCGACTTGCTCGCAGGCGGGGATGTTTGGCAAAAGCTTCGGATCGTCTACGAGAACTCGAGGGTGAAATCTATCTTGACTCTGATAGAAGACCTGCCGAATCTCGTCGTCAGCGGTGTTGACACTTTCGTGAAGTCGGAGAGATTGAACGATTTCGTGGAGAAACTCGCGTTTGGCAAGGTACACCCGTGCGACATCGACAAATATTTGATCGTGCCCAGTTTCGTGAGGAAGAAGGTTCTCTTGTCGAGCATTACCAACTTCTGCCAGAAGATCGTTCTCACCGAGAGACAGCTGACTTTGATCGATATATTGCCCCTTGATGTGAAGTACGAGGTACAGCGTTCAGCTAACTATACAACTTTCACGATGGCCGTGTTACAAACTGTACAAAACTTGTGGACGGTTTACAGGAAGGTCGAATGGCGAGAAATCAATCCAGAGACTACAATCAGACTTATATCTTGGAAACGATCGATCATGTCGAATCGACTATGATACGAGTTGCTTCGGAGGGTTTCAAGGAGCCGAAGATTCCCACTTGGTGGACGTCCTTCAAGGAGGGCACCTTCGAAGACTTTTTGTCTCGCTATAAGAAAGAGGTGAGCTCGATAATTTCGATCTTAGTCGTTCTTAATCTAGATCCGTTGGTTGCTACGCGTTGAAAATTGTTCTACAGGATTCAAGGGCGCTCGCACACTTGGTGGTGAAAAAGCTCTTCACGATCGCTGGGAACATTCTGAATTCCGCTGAGAATACCGAGTAAGCTACTGTCTCCCGTCAGCATTCGTGGAATTTGTTTATTACGATCCCTCCCATTTATCAGGAAACTTTCTTTCAGGGGTTGTCCCTGGTGCGTCACTGCTCCCATAGAAATTCTGAATTCTCAGCTGCAGAACCATCAACGTTACGCGAATCTGCTCTGTCGGTTGAATGGGTTAAACATATCAGAGATTCACGATATCTTATTGAGCGATTTTGATTGGAACAAAACTGCCAACATGGTAACGCTTCATCGATAATATCGCGATTCGACTTGCGACCAAATGTTCAATGATTTCGTACAATTTTCCCTCTCTCTTAGGTGAAGGATTACAAGAATCTGAGCGTCGAGCGAACCAGAAACGAATTTATGGCGAGCCTGGAAGGCACCTTTCATCACGTGGTCGACATCATAGTGAATTTTCACAACGAGACCTACAAAGAGAAGAGCAACGAGTGTTTTCATAAATTCGTAGGACAACCTGCCTATTCCAGGCCCGGACTGTAAGCACACGAGATATCCGTGTCCTCGGCTTAATTAATAAATGCCTTTCACAGCGACTGTCCTTTTTACGTGGCGCCATAATAAAAACAAGTTCCATTCAAGGTACGTGACCATGGCCCTCGGTGTGCTGGACGCCCTGCAGAAGAACGTGTTCATTCTGGACACGGGCCGGAATCACAAGAACATCGACGCGTTGTCCAGAATGGCGGAGAAGTACGTTCCGATCTGGAAGCCCGTCCGCGACGTGGTAAAGGCGTCGGACGTCGACGACGTGGAGGCGTTTTTGCCAGGGGCGATGATTAACGTGAACGCGGTGCTGAACGACAGAAACGATTCTCTTTGTCGGACAAAGCCGGAATGTCGGAACCGGACGATTTTATACAACTATCTGAGCTCGAGGAAAGCGGGAAGAGTGTTCCAGTACGACCCAAAATCGTCGAGTTACCATTCCCTGATGGAGATCGCCGATCGATTGTCTGTTAGCCTGGACCTGGATCGAATCGATCGCGAGCTAAAGCAATGGCGAATGGACGCCACGTGGAATTTAACGTGGCTGAAGGAGATCCTCAGGCACTTGTCCGTCGTTATCGCGGAGAGCGGCAATCTGCTCGACGTCGCCAGTAAAATAGACTTCCAGGCCCTCTCGAACGTCCTGGAAGTTCCTGATATCGTCGATGGGGTGGTTAATATCCTCAAGGATAAGACGGTGGACAAGCTTTTCGACGGGTAAGAATGCCTCGATCGAAGGAACAGGATTAGAGGCGAGACACAGGCTGGGTGACCAGGGTCGCGTGAGAGTTGTTCCTTCTTTCGAGTATCGACGTTTCCCCTCGGCTTGACTCGGTCTAAAGATTTCGTTGTGGTTTTTGTAGAATGAAGGAGATAGTGGAGAGCACTAAAGTGTTCGTCAAGGATCCAAACGACCTGGACGATATTTATCGAATAATCACAACGTTAGAGTCGATGGAGATCTTCAAGAATTTAGGCTTGCTCGACAGGAAATGTATGCTTTCGCTATGTTAAAGCGTTGGCTTGCTTAATGAAACATAATCGCGACTTGTGATTCGATAACTCGGTGATATTTTTATTTTCAGACGCTATCAGGGACATGTTCGACAACTGGGATATAGTAAAGTCATATTTGGTGGATAAGATAGGAATTTCCAACGATGTCGCGCTGATGCTGAGCCAGGCCAAGATAGACATGATTTCCGTTTTCCTGAGAGAGAGAAGGGCTTTCAGTTTGAAGGAGATCATTTGTTCGCCGAAGAAACTCAGCGACATGTTGAATTTTAACAGCGATCGTATCAACGCAGAAGAAGTCAGCTCTACTATTTGCCAGCTCGAGGATTCTCAGAGGCAAAACGTGACCATAACTTTGATTAAAAATTTAAACTTCGATTACATCTTTAAGACCGTGAGTAGTCGCGTAGAAAAATACCAAGCGTGAGGGTATCGCGTTTAATCAAGTTCGTCGTTTTCAGCTTATGAGCGCGAACGTAAAAAATATATTAACCAACGCAAATTTGACGGAGAGGGAGGGGAAAATGGTACTGGATAATCTTGGTGTGGCCGCGGAATTGTTGCCATTCTTCAGAGATAAACTTTCATCTCAAATGCCAACGATGGAAGCTTTGGAAACAGATGCGGTGGAAGCGGACCAAACGGTTTCCAGTAAGTTGTGCAAAATTTGGAAATGAAATTAGCGTAGTTTGCGTATTTAATAAATATTCAAACGCACTTCGTAGCTTCCAAGTTCCTTCAAGATTCCAGCGAGATGCTGTGCGGCCAACCGATAGTCTCCGATAACGGACAATTGTACAAAATCATTTCGCAGCTCGAAGACAATAGCAAAGAATTCGACAAGATCGAGCTTGATTCCCTACCAAGTACGTACAATTAATCATCCGATTAAAAAGAAAACGTTCGTTTTAAATTTGGCAGCTTGAAATTGAAGTTGATATATTTGAAATTTAAATTTGGAAAACTTGAAACTTCGCTATTTGAAATTTAAATTGAAAAATCTGAAACTTTGTTCTACGCAGCCGACTTCTGCCGAAACAGCTACAAGGGTGTAATCGCTATGGCTGGCGGGAAAATAATATGGTCTTACGTGAAACCACTGCTTCGTGGTCAAATCCTTTACGCACCTAACACCACGACAATCAACGATGTAATGACCCTTGCAAACAGGACGTTCGTGGAAATGGAACATTTCGGAATATTGATCAGCAGTTTCGCAAAAACATTATCCTACTTAGCAAATCTTACCGAGATGAGTGACAATTTAAAGGAACTTGAGGACATAATGTCTTCGGACATTATAAAAGTCGCGATTAGGTCACTCAGTGGTGGCAACTTCGAAGGTAAATTGACCCAGAAAACTATATATAGTACAATATAGATATTCCCGGATTATTCTGATCCCTCTAATACACGTGTCCACCTATTCTATTTTCCGAAAGACGGTATCGCGAGCGTGTTTCTACCAAAACGTCTCTGCCTTTTCCAGGAGATTTTACCAATATGAACCTCAGCGAGATTTCCTGGCGACTTAAAAGATCCAAACGTTTGATAACGATGGTTGGCATGTTGAATGATTTATTGGAGTGCGTGCTCGTGGATCGAATAAGAGGATTTCGGTCCGAGGAGGAAATGGAAGCCGAGGCTCGGGTTCTGATGGAGACGCGGGAATTTTTAGCCGGGGTTGTCTTTTTGGATAAACCCTCGAAAAGGTCCAGCAGATCCTTGGACCAAGAATTGCCCGACAATGTGGTGTACAAAATTCGAATGGACGTGGACTACGTGCAATCCACGAAGAGATTAAAAAATCAATTTTGGGTGCCTGGCCCGGAGAGCAGTTTTATCGAGCATTTGAGATATTTCAGAGGATTTGTGCAGCTCCAGGACTCTATCGATCGTGCAATCGTGAGGACGAAGAGCCAGAAGGACCTGGATTGGAAAACTGTGACCCAACAAATGCCGTATCCTTGCTGGAAAGACGTACCGTGAGTTTTCGTTTATTATCCTTTCGTATGCAAATTTGCAGATACGGTCAAGCAACGGAGCAATCATTTGCGAATTTTTATATATTCTTCGTTTCCTGGAGTACATATATTGAAATTAAAAATGGAACAAAGAGATAAGATAATATCTTATTCATCAATGAGCAAGTATGATGATTATTCCTAATTGTTATCTATGTATCTTGGAAGATAAAGAATATACAAAAATTGGAAAATCGTTAGTTTGCTTTTTAAGTACTGTGAGTAACAGTAAAGAGAATAAAAGAGAATCAATAATAATGAAATAACTCGTTATCTATTGTCTAGATACAAAAATTTGAAATATTTTTGTCACATTTGTCAGGACACATCAGATAGTTACATAGCGAGATAGTTTCGAGTTATTTTGTCTGATTATTTTTATCGTCTTAATTTGTATATTTCATTATAATTGTACGAAATGATTTTGTGTATCCTGTAGCTTTCAAACTACCCTCTACGAGTCTCAAGGAATCCAGGTTTGTTTCTTCTTCGCGCTGATGATGTGCGTCGGTGCTGCTGTCAGACACATCGTTTGGGAAAGAGAATCTCAAAATGCAATGGTAAGAAGAAGAAGAATACCAGGATAACAAATAAATATTTATGGAAATTAGTCGACAAACGAGTCTCGCTTTTTAGGTAATGAGCGTGATGGGATTGAGACCTTGGCGAAACACCATGGCCTGGTTCATCACCACGTTCGTAGAACTCTTAATCGTGATGTTCTCCATAGCTATGATTCTACTCGTTGGGAAGATTCTACCAAAATCCGATCCTTCTGTAGTTTTAATCATGATGATCGATTACGCGTTCGCCATCGTAACTTTCTGGTAAGCTTTATCGGGTTAATTACCATCGACAGGTTTCTCTCTACTAAAACAGACGAACAAATTTCCAGCTACATGATTTCAACGATGTGCAGCTCAGCGAGCCTGGCCGCGATCACCACAGTGGTTATGTTCTTGCTGACATTCATGCCATACGTCATTGTCATTGCTATGGAGGCCGTTATTGGTCTGGGGTATAAGCTCCTCATCGTAAGTTATCGCCACCTAGCGTTGCAACAGCATTTCCGTGGCAAATAACGCGTTCGAACGATGCATTTGCGTTAGCCACCGCGATAAAATCGCCATTTCCTACGAAATCACGATAGAGCCTCGCGCGTTCTAGGAAAGAGAACGATTTATCAGCATCTTTGAGTTTTGATCGCTCATGCGTCAGCTGTCGAATGATACTTTCAGTGTCTCAGCATGTCCACCAGCTTTTGTTACGGTTGCTTGTACGCGGCCAGGAAGGAAGTTCAAGGGACCGGCTTAACTTGGAGCGCCATGTGGAAGGAATCCAGCCCAGGTGACTCGATGTCTTTGGGTTTGGTGCTCCTGATGATTGCCTTCGACGGTTGTCTGTATGCCGTAATTGGTTATCTCATCTCCAGATACAACAATTCAGGTAGAAACTCAGCGAAACTTCCTCGACTTCGGAACTCCCGCGAATCTTTAGAACTCTGTAGAAATCGATCCTTCGACGTTTGGTGGAGGTGTCATGAGCCGTAGAGTCTCCTACAACTTTACTCTATTCTCTCACGTTTGTCCGAAACATTTTTGTTTTTTTGTTTCATTGTTCCGTTGCATAAAAGATTTCCTTTTAGTTACACGATTAAAAACGACGCAAAGTCAATCGTGCGAGTGACATAACATCGTATTTTGAAAGATCCCGACAGGATACTTGGGGTCTCTGGTGCAGGTGACATCGCGGAGTTTAACGAGTGTCTCTATGCTGTCTGTGTATCCCCCTTTATAATCACTCTGTTGTCGATTACCGTTACTAAACGTAGGAGAAGGAAAAGTATGCACATGGACGGTGTCGTTAACTCCTTAAGGACCGAGTAACTTTACAGAAATCGATCAAAAATTCTCGTTATAAACCGTCTTGACACGAGCACGGTCCTTAAGGGGTTAAAAGCAAAGTAATATCACGTTTCTAGTTCACTTCTCTCTTAACCCCTTCGCCTACAATATCGTACGAGACTCGTGGTAAGGGAAACGGGTCGAACATGCGTCTCACGGGTGAGACACGTGGTTCACAGATAGCGTACCGTACCGGACGTAAACATCGCGAGTCAATTTCGTAGCTCGTTTTCGCCGATGTCCTTCTGTCTCAGTTGTGCGTTATTCATCACCGCGATCGGACGAAGTGACTCCTCGTGTTCGACGCGTCTCAACGTGATCGTCATTGTTGTCGACTGTGGCACGTGCCATAGCGAATTGTGCAACTTAAACGGCAAGGCAAGGGGCTAAGAATCTGTTCGTCGACACCGTCCACGTGCCCACGACGGACCAGCGAAAGGAATATCGTCACGAATTCTGTACGTTTACACGCACCTCTCGTTCGCATCGTGGCAAATTTACGCACAGATTTCACGAAACCTTTCCCTCCACGCATAATCGCCACTGGGGCACTACGAAGAGAAACGCCAGCGGGACGGTGTCGTGGCACGATACTCACTCTCGATGAAAAGACTGTGCCGTGTTCCGAAAAAGAAGTCGATGACCCGGTGAGCATTGGCGAATAATTTTCCAGGCAGGGGCTTTCACGATTTGAGGTCCCGTAGCTTATGGTGGGCCGACACACGTTCTCTCTATGGCAGGCCGAGCTACCTCACCTTCGTCAACAACCTCTATTTCACTAACGACGTTCTCCACCCTTCAGCCACTTACCAAGGTATCGCACTAGCTCGCTCTTCC